AAGGAAATAAAGACACCACAAGAAAAGAGAACTACAGGCCGATATCCCTGATGAACACAGATGCAAAGATTCTCAACAAAATATTAGCAAATAGAATCCAGCAACTCATCAAAAATATCATATACCTCGACCCAGTGGGATTCATCCCGGTGATGCAAGGATGGTTTAATATTAGAAAATCAATAAACATAATTCATTATATCAACAAAAGAAAAGATAAATACCATATGGTCATATCAATAGATGCAGAGAAAGCATTTGACAAGATCCCACACCCATTTATAATGAAAACTCTCACCAAAATGGGTATTGAAGGAACTTTCTTCAATATAGTCAAAGCCATCAACCACAAGCCTATGGCAAGCATCATCCTTAATGGGGAAAAATTAAGAGTCTTCCCTCTAAGATCAGGGACCGGACAAGGATGCCCACTCTCACACTTCTGTTCAATATAGTACTGGAAGTACTTACAATAGTGATTTAGGCAAGAAAAAGATATTAAGGGCATTCAGGTAGGAAAGGAAGAAATCAAGCTCTCACTATTCGCAGATGATATGATACTATATTTAGATAATCCCCTAAGTCTCTACCAAGAAACTCCTAGAAACAATAGACCTTTCTGATTCTTTAATGACTGGTTGTATTGGTCTGAAGATCCAGACATTGCTCTGCTCCAAAGATTTAAGCCCCACCTCACGCCCAGAGTATGGTGCCCACATGCTCAGTGCTGGGGAGTGAGCTCACCGGGAGCAGTTGCACTTGTCTGTTGTCAGCGGGACTCAGGAGTGAGAAGCAAAGGCATCCAAGCACCTCAAAGGAGCATCATCAGAGGATTATAGAGCTGGGGAAGCCTACCGGCGAAGCAACATCTCGTGTACGAAGGAGTTAAAGTTTCAGCCAGAAGTATAAAAACAGAATGGAGAGATAGCACAGCGGGGAAGGCGTTTGCTTGTACACCACCGACCCAGGTTTAATCCCCGGCATCTGCACACCATATGGTCCCCCAAGCCAGGAGTGATTCCTGAGTGCTGAGCCGAGGTAATCCCTGGGCATTGCTGGGTGTGACCCAAAAATCAAAACAAAACACAATAGTAGTAAATCAAAGTGGACCCTGAGGTCCCGTGCCTTGGGCGGGGTCTGAGGAAGATGAGGTCACTGAGAAGACCAGACAGAGCCCTGGCTATGTCAGCTAACACACGGCCTAAGGCAAGGTTGCTGGTTCCCTCGCCTGCACTCGCCTGCTGGGAAAGCCTTGGGGGGGCGGAAGGGGTCTCCTGCAAGCCGCAGCTGCCCCACACAGCTTGTTTGTCAGTCTAGCCTGTGAAGATGCTCCTGAAGTGCCCATTCGCCTTTTTCCCCCACTGCTCATGAAGCTGGGCCTTGCACGCCCTCTCTCAGTCTTCCAGATCCCCTCCTCTGAAGTGCACGCTCGGGCCTCTTGTCCTTTTCTCGCCGGGTGTGTGGGGTTTCTTGCCCGCAGTGATTTGAAAGCATTCCTTTTGTTTTCTGGTCGCTGGCCTGCTCTCAGGAATCGTTTTAATCACCTCTGGCCACTGGAGCAGAGGGTCGCAGGGGCAGGAGAGCCCATACTGAAGAGAGGGACGCAGGTGTGGCTCATGGCCACTCATGCCAGGAGGCAGGCAGCGGGCCTGTTTGCCATGCGGGGTGGGCTTCCTGCACGTGGAAGAGGCTCCCGTTGGACCGCACAGCTGACAGGGAGAACACGGGGCCTCCATTTCAGCAGAGATGCACAAAGGCCTTCTCTCCCCACTCGCTGACTTCTCTCTCCAGAGTCTTTGGCTGAACCAGGAGATTGTTGTGTAGGGGCTAGAGTGATAGCACAGCGGTGTGGCCGGCCTAGGTTCAATTCCCAGCATCCCATATGGTCCCCCGAGCACCACCAAGAGTAATTCCTGAGTGCATGAACCAGGTGTAACTCCTGTGCATCACCGGGTATGACCCAAAAAGCAAAAAAAAAAAAAAAAAAAAAAACTAGAAACCAATCCTCCATTTGACCCAGCAATTCCAAGTCTGGGCATTTACCCCAAGGACCCAAAACTCTGTTCAGAAAAGACATGTTCACTCCTATACTCAATGTGCCACTATTCATAATAATCAAAAGGAAACAAGCCCCAGTGTCCAAGAAGAGATGCCTGGATAAAGACGCTGTGGTATACAATCTACTTATGCAACATACTTATACTTGGCTATCAGAAAGACTGAAACCTTGAAGTCCCCTGCTCAGGGGGGGTCTGAAGAGTACCATGCTTACGGAGGCAAGCCAGAAGGAGAGGGACTGATACAGGATGGTCTCCCCTAAATGCAGTATACAAAGAAGCATTATAGAAGAGTACCAAGTGTCCCAATGCAACAGGAACTAGGCCTGGTCTTTAGCCGGAGTCGTGTCACTGTAGGGCGAGGGGCTCACAGCAAAGGCAGAGTGGGCATGGGACAGTGGCAGAAGGACGTTTGCGGGAGAACGCCGTGTTGGAACGTTTATGCATTATCAATATTGTGAATCACAATGCCTAAAATAAAATTTAGAAAGAAAAACTCTCTCTGACTGTTCACCCTCCTGCGGGTTGTGTGGGCTGTTTCCTCCAGGCGGTCCCATCTACCCTCAGCCCACCACTCACCATACGAGTCCCACAGGGTGCTGAGAGCAGGGCTGGGGCTGAAGACAGCTCTGCTGGGTCTGCATAGCTTCCCTGGGAAAGCGAGTAGGGCCCAGAGGATGCAGTGGAGTGCACAGCGCAGAATGTTCCAGGTGAGGAAGCCTGGAGGAAGGCTCAGGAGGGAAGCGAGGATCTGGCAGAGTTAAGAAAGGAGAGAGAAACCACGGGCAGGTTCAGGCTGTCCTGAAAGCAAGTTGAAGTCGGCACACAGCTTCCTCAGAGCAGTTAACTTGTTTGTTCGTTTGTTGCTCAGGGCTTCCTCCTGGCCCTGCACTCAGCAATTACTCCTGGCAGGCTCGGCAGGCTGTATCGAACCCGGGTTAGCCGCCTGACAGCAAACACTCTGCCTGCCTGATTATTGCTCCAGCCCATAGCGTGGCAATTTTTAAGCCTTGACCTGACACGAGTCTCCTTCTGACTGCCGGTGAAGGAAAACTTAGAAACCAAAGTCAGTGTGGGAATACCCATGGGACCAATTCATCATCCAGATACGACAAGGCAGTGTTCGGAGTGAGGGTCCCGGGCACAGGGAGAGGCAGGCTGGTGGTTCTGGGTGAGTGGGCCTGGACACGACAGCCCCAAGCACTTGAGTGTGCTTGGAGTGTAGGGTTCAGGTGCAGTGCAGGCAGTTGTCCGGGAAGCACCTGGAGTCCGGCTGGCTGGAACTTGTGGGCAGAACTTTCAGTGGGGATGGAGAACAGAGGGGCCACAATGTGTTCCAAGGCAGCGGGAATCTACCCCACAAGAGGCCCCTGGACCTCACAGACAAGCATCTGAAGTTTAGGACATGCTGGAGATGTCCTGCCCCCTCTCTGCCGTGAGCATCTTTCCTGCACTCTCCTCTCTGCATCCACCAGCCACCCTGGCCACTCCCCAGGCACCCACCGGAAGTCAATGCAAGAAGAGTTAGTTGTGCAAATACCATCTGACCTCACTCATGGTGCTGAAGAAAGCAGGATGCTGAGTCCAATCAACAATAACAAGCTTTCTCCAACCATAAGACCCACCATTGAGTCCAGAAGTGATGGAGAAAGGATTTGGGCAAGGGCATCACATAAATGGTCATTTGGTTAAAAAAAAAGGGGGTACAGTAGAAATGACATCTGCCCTTTTATGTTTATTGAAGTACTATTAAGATAGCCAGAATCTAGGGAAAAAACCTTTGGTATAGCTACACAATGGAATACTATGCAACTGTAGAAAAGATGAAACCATGAAATTTGCCTATAAGTGGGTGGGCACGGAGAGTATCTATGCTACATGAAATGAGTCAGAAAGAAAGGGATAGGCATAGAATGACTGCACTCATTTGTGGAATATAAAGTAACATAATAGGAGACTAACACCCAAGGATAGTAGAGATAAGGACCAGGCTGTTACCTTATTGCAAACCATAACACCCAAAAGGAGAGAGAGAGTCAGAAGGAATGCACCTGCCACAGAGGCGGGAGGTGGGAAGGGGTGGGATGGTGGGAGGGATACTGGGGACATTTGGTGGTAGAGAATGGGCACTAGTGGAGGGATGGGTGCTCGATCCTTGTATAACTGAAACATAATCACAAAAGTTCCTAAGTCTGTAACTGTATCTCACGATGATTTATTAAAATAAAATAAATAGATAAATAAATGGCCAGCTGAGTGGTGACAGACAGCACTGGGTGTGGGTGCTGGGTTACTGGACGCACCAGCACTCGCCTGGGAAGTCTGATGCAGGCTGATATCCCATGATGAGTTCAGCAGACGCTGGTAGAAGACTGTGTTATTTTGTGGAATTGCTTCCCTTCCCTCCACATCCTAAAACCAAGGCCAGGTGTGGGCACAGACCTGGCCTGGGTGAGGCTTGAACTCATGCCCCACTAGAACTCATGAGACCCCACCCCCCCAAGCAGCCCACCCTCCCCCTCCCCCCATCAGTGCCATCATCTCAGCCACATTGCAGGGGCCCGGTCACCTGCCAGTGGGCCTCAGTCTGGACAGCACAGGGAGAGACCCTTTCCATCGACGTGAGCCGTTCCACCTGGCAGCCACTGCTACTGGCCTCCTTTGGGACATGCAGGGGCCCTCAGAGGGGACTAAGGCACAGTGGGCCAACGGAGCTCATGGCATGGGCCTGATGCCTACCTTTCAGGGGAAGCGTCCCAGGCCAGCAGCAGGCGGGTGAGCCCGAAGCCAGTGTCCTGGAGAGGGTTGGGGAGTCCTCGCAGCTCCCAGACCCCGACCGCTTGCCTCAGAACCCAGCTCTGGCTCTAATGAGCATCCAGATCTGGTTGCTTTCGTCTTTCATTCTCCCTGAGTGTGTCTTTTCCCCTTTATTTTCTTTTCCAGTCGGATGTCATGGATCAGAATTTGTTAAATTTCCTTCCCGAGCAAGAACACTCTGAAGTGTACAAGATCCTTTCCTCCCATCTGCTCGTGGCCGATTCCCCTGCGCCGGAATACTTAAAATGTAAGTTCAGCTTCATTAACTTTACAAAATATGAATCATTTTACCTTTGAAAGGAGGGTAGCATGAACTAGGCGGGGAAGACTAATTTTGAGCATCATCTTCCTGTGACTCAGATCATAGCTGAGATCTGGAGAGGTGTATTTTAAGCTCTAAGCTAAAACTGGCTCTGGAGAGATGTAAGACGTTGAGCTTTTATGTGGAAAATCTGAAAGCGTGGAGTTTAAGAATAACACTCGTCTCACATGTGATACAAAATTCCCTCTTTAAAGGTCTTTTTGTAAGAAACCGTGCCACAAGCAATTGTCTGTTTTAGAATATTCGGCCTATTTTAGAGGGCACTGAGCTCGCTGTGTGATCTTTAAGCACCTAAAACCTGGATAATTGGATCAGAACCCAGATTCTCTTCTCCTGAATCTGTCATCTGATCATATACATCTGTGGCCTTTCCGGAATTTCAAAGTGTCTTTGAATCAGAGTTGGCAGCCTCGAGAGAAGGCTGGCTTCGTGCCTGTCCCGCCGCGTGCCCCTGGCAAAGCTTCCGCAGGGATGCAGGCGCCGAAGGTGCCTGTGCTTGTCTGAGCCTCAGTCTGTTTTCCATGACTGGTTTGTCCCATCGTACGTCTCACTTGACTCCGAAGCGGAGCAGAACGGCCGTATTAAAGAGAGTGTCTCTACAGAGAGTCGTTCCTTTTAACGCACCGTAGCTGAAAGCAACCGGGTCCCATCAATGATGACATAACCAACCACAGGCGTTTCATTTCATTTTTTTCATTTCATCATCCTGTTATTCGTCGATTGCCTCGAGCAGGCCCCAGTAACGTCTCCTTCATCCTAACCCTGAGATTATATTCAAGGCTCTTTAGGAGAATGAGACCCATCATTGTTACTGGTATTTGGCATATTGGGTGCGCCACGGGGAGTTTGCCAGACTCTGCCCTGTGGGCAGGCTACATTCGATAGCCTGCAAGTTTGTCCAAAGTAGGAATGAGATCATAAGATGTCATAAAAGATGTCTTGATAAGATGTCGTGCGGCCGCGAACGCGGCCGCATGGTTCCAGGATCTGGATTTTATAGTCTCTGAGTCTTGGCCGTTGATGGGATTACACGGCGCCAGGGGGCCAGGTGGTGGGTGTGATCCCCGCCTACTGGAATTTGGAGGATCTGGGTGGAGGATGCTCGACCACAGGCGTATGTGACCAAATTGAGACAAATGGGGTCAAGTACAAAATTCCAAACCAGCTGTGGTGGGAGGGGTGGGCTCTGTGGAGAGGCTCTAAACTGTGTCCAGAGCCAGCCGTGATGCGAGCGCGCCCCATCCCTGCTCCCACTAGGAATAGACTTTTCCAGAAAGCAGCACTTGTTTCATCTGGAGGCTGTAATGCTCACGTCCTCTTCTCTCCTCTTTTTCTCCAACGGCCCAGCTGACAACGATCTGGAGTTTTATTGCCATCTTCTCAGAGGCAGCTTGAACCCAAAGGAATTTCCAACTTATGAATACATAAAATTCGTGGGAAATTTTCGCTCTTACAACAATGGTAAGCTTTAACTGTCCTATCATTGCGACCGTGTCTTTTATCTTGCAAACGTGGAGGGGGGGGCGGGGCAGGAGTGTAGTGAACGAGGACAAAGGAGATCTGCTTCTCATATGTGCATTTAGATTTCCATGTTGCCCAGATGCGTCTGGTGCTCATAAGCGCTCGCCGGGCCTGAGGAGAGCATGCCCACCCCTGCCCGTGCTGGCACAGAACGGCCCACGGAGCCCATGTCTGCGACTGTGCCGGGGAAACGGCTGAGAGTCCAGAAAGGACACTGGACACTGGACACTGCCCCCTGGCGGGACCCCTGGGACCTTGCTGTCTCAGGCCTGGGAGCAAATTTCAGGGGACCTGCTCACTGCACTGCACTGCACGTGAGCACCCGTTTCCCGAGCGGGCCTTGCACAGCAGCCACAGGCTGGACAGGCAGTGCGGCCGCCCTTGCTGGCCCTGCAGCGATTGTCCGAGCTCCCACTGCCAGACCGCATCTCCAACTAGGCTGAAACGCCCCATTTCACTCCTGGCCAGCCCCTGCACAGGCTGCCTCCTGTTTGCTCTTTCCTCAGAACTAAACAAACAGCTCTGAAGAGTCTCACATTTCATAAAAACACTGAGACGGACAGATCTAAGACAGGGATTTGTGGAAGGGGTGGGGGCAATTCCAAAGGCAAACAGATTTGGAAAGATGAGCCGTGGTGGGGAGGGGTGGGCCACGGGGTCAGAGGCAGCTGGTGGCAGCGGCTCTCACCGTGGGACCCAGTCAGATGAGCCCCAGGGTTCTCATCCGAATCAGCTGAACAGCAGCCGAGTACTGATACTGAGACTCACCAGGGTCCTTCCTCCGCCTCGACCACCTCGTCTTGCATGTCCTTCACAGAACTGGACACGCTTTGTTCAAAAGGCACCAGCTAGATGTGGGGTCCTGCCAAGGGCCCAGTGTTCAGGGCTCAGCCTGCCTGGGAGCTCCGAGGCTGAACTGGGGCCTCTGAAGTCTAACGCAGGCCCCGTGGGGTTGAGTAGCTGCAAGCGAAGACTTCAGCTTCCCCGGGGGACCCCGGGCGGGTCTGGGTGAAGCAGGATGAAGCCATGGCCTGCCGGGGCAGATCCCACACAACTGAAGTTCCCCAGACTTCACTAGTGTCAGTTGAGGCACATGAATGGTGGCTCATGGACCCAAGGACCTGAGTGAAGGAGCATCTTGGAACAAGAGCTGAAGACCCCAGGGGGTGCCCGTCCTCCAGCCACGATTCATTAGGGAAGGCATCTTGCAAAATGCAGATTCCCAGGCATCTCCTGGAGCTTCCTCTTGGCTCTGTTGCTGGAGCTGCAATGGAGCAGATTAGAAAGACACGCGGGCTCGGGTGCAAGAGGCTATGGCCTCTGAGAAGCATTGCCCTGCGCTTGCCAGGCTGCCCACCCACGGGAATCCTAGTGACACCCCCTTGCCTTTGAAGCGGAGCTTTCCAGGCAGCACTATCCTGCATCACGACGTTGTACTGGCTTGGATTTACTGGAGATATTAATGCTCTGGCCATAGTGCCAGATGTGAGGGTGACTGCATGAAGGAGGGACGGTGCTCTGGCCATCAGAGTAGCCAGGTTCTTTGCAGGGAGTTAAGGAGTGCAGCCCTGGCCCCCTGCCCAAAACAGTGCCCAGCTTAATTGGCAGGGCTGGCCAGAGTGTGCACGTGAGCAGCTCTGTGCGCTGTTTTCCCTTCCACGGTTTCATTAAGACACTGCCGAACAGGCTTGGAAGCTTCTCGTCATTGATCACAGTTCAGAGGATTTCAAGGAAATAGATTCCTTTCTAGATTTCTGGGACTTTTTTTTTTTATTTTTAACTAGCTGGGCTTTATTTTTACTTCAAGTTGAGACAGTGTTTGTTTGCCTGGAATAATGTGTGGAAATTATGTGTGACTTGAAAAAAAAAAAGGCTGGTACTGCTAAAAACTTGGAATTAAAAGTTGCAAATTTCAAAGTGAGGCAGTTAAAGGAACTTTCTTGAAACGAGAGTCTCCGAATTGTGGAATGTCTGAAATATAATCCCGACCTGGGTTTAAACAGCAAAAAACCTCCAAGGCAAAAGAATTCCTCAGACGGGACCCCATGAAATCATCAACACTGAACCATTTCAATGTTCAATTCAAACACGGTGTTGTGGTTGAGTTCTCAGCAAACACTGAGCAGCGGGACCGTTTCCCCGGGGTCGTCGTGCGCCGTGAGCTCTGCGTTATTTGCTGCTTGCCAAGAAGACGGCGGAGACTCGTTTCTGCGGACCATAGAACGAGAAGGACAGCGACCATGTGGGCGTCTCTCCCTTCCCTGGGCCATGCCAGCCGTGACTATGGATGACGCCTGTCAGTACTTTGTCTGGGGGCAGGGGGGGAAGAGGGACCAGCCAGGTTCAGTCACCAGCCGGATACGGCTCCCTGAACCCCACCAGGAATGCTCCCTGGATGCCGAGCCCGGGCCTGCGTGAGAGCTGCTGAGTGTCTTCCCCTAAGAAGGGCCCATCTTTCCCTGGACCAGTCTTGCCCTCATGAGTCCACCCCCTGCAGATGCCAAAATCACCCCAGGGAGGCACCTTTGGGTGCAGCCAGAGGGCACTTTCTGTTTGTTTCCTTCACAAAAGTTTATTTCTGGGGGGCACTGACATTTTCCTAAGAAGAGGGTCGCTGAAAGGCACCTCTGGGAAACCTGCCAGCCTGGGGCTTGAGGGTCAGCCCTGTGTTGGGGGCGTGGGGAGGCCAGCATCAGCGTGGCAGCAGGGGGGCCTGGCTCTGACTGGGCAGCGTCTCCTGCAGGACTCAGTGTTGGCCCCTTGCACCCAAAGGCAGACCCCTGCTGTTCGGCACACTGTCCCCCAGCTCCGGATGGTGAGGAGACGGGCCCACCTGTCCGTGTGGGGAGAAAGGGAACAGAGACCCTTTGCCTGCCCCCTTCAGGAGGGGAACTTCCACGGAGGCGTCTCTAGGCTCACCCACGACGCTGCCACCATATCCCTCAACCCCCAACCCCGACCCACAGGGATGGGTATGCAGTGACCCTTGTCCCACAGGGAACTGGAGTGGCCTCTTCCATCTGCCCGTGTCTTGTTGGCACCTTAGCGCTTCCTGATGTGCTACTGAGCTTGTTGGGGAGGGAGGGAAAGAAGACAGGATTTCTCAGCTGAACCTGGATTTTTCCAGAACTAATCTATCAGGAAATGGAACAAGAAGGAAGGCTTTTTGCAGCTCTTACTCTAGGAAGCTTCCTAACTAGGTTGCTGAAAGCTCTGTGTGGGGATAGAAGGCCCCCGTCCCCTGGTCTCCTGAAATCCCACTCTCTGCCCGACCACCTTGCCTGAAGTCCCGTCCAGGGGGCCCACTGGTCAGCCCGCCCGTCCACCTCAGCTTGACAACTTCTAGAAGTGAAAGGAAATAACTTTATTCCAGTCACTGTGGGGTTTGCAGCAAATAACGCTCTTTGAAACTTTTGTTTGTTTGTTATGAGGACACACCCAGCTCTCTGCTTCTTAGCTCAGGGATCTCTCCCGATGGTTCAGGGAGCCCTGGGTGATGCCCGGGAATAAGCCCGGGTTGGACACATGCAAGGCAAGCACCCTACCCACTTCACTATCTTTCTCGCCCTTAAAAAAAGCTTTGAACAAATACACTTTCCATATTTTCACTTTTCCATATTTTCACTTCTTCAATTAAATAGCCCAAGAGACCATCCTCCAACCCCTTCCGCAGGCACTTTACATTGGGAGAGAGCTAGCAGGTATTTGTCTAACGCGTACGGAAGGGCCAGAGAGGTGGTACAGTGGGTAGGACACTTGCCTATCCACATGCTCCTGACTCTGGCTTGATCCCCGACATTCTACATATTCTGAGCCCTGCCAGGATGAGCCCTGAGTACAGAGCTAGGAGTAAGCCCCGAGCACCACTGGGAGTAAGCCCCAAAACTAACGCAAAGCAGTAAGGAGCCGCTGTGTGGAGGGGCCTTGCGGCGGTGCCAGGAGCAGCCCCTCCACGCAGCTCTCCCCCGCGCTCTGTGTCGAAGTGTGCGCCTGACTGAGACCCAGAAGCAGCATTTCAAAAGTTTCTGGTGCCGCTCCAAGTAGGTCAGCCTCAGCGAACACTCCACTCTGGGCTTTCCAGAAACCACACACCAGAGTCTGAACGTTCCGCTGCCCTCGTTTCACCCGCTCGCCTCACCGCGCCGCCGGGCCTGAAGCACGGGCAGGAGCCAGGAGCGGGTCTTGTCCCCACACCTTTGGCTCCCGTGCTGCACCGGCCCGTTTCATTCTAGGACTTCGGGGCTTCGGGTTGGTTCCCAAGTGGGTGAACTGATATGGCCCGGTTAAGGGAACGAGGCACATGCCCTCCAAACCTCCCTGGGTCTGGAGCCGTGCGCTCGCAGGGAGAGACAGCTCCGTGACACGTTCTCATCCGTCTGACTCCCACCGTACGCAGAGTAAGGAGCAGAATGGCCCTGAGCCCTGCCGCTGAGATTGATGAGGAATTAAGAATGTGCTGAGGAACTCAGCCAAGGACAGCCTCATGCAGCAGGGTCTCTAGCTGGGATGCACAGGGCGCCAACCGCGTCTCTCTACTCCTAGGTAGATTGTCCTGGAACCCTGATGAAAATGTGCACAAGATATACCCTTGGACGCCAAGGGACAATGGCCCCTAGGAAGTTCTCATCCCTGGCTCTGTCCACATCACTAGCTGCCTTGTCAGTGACACTGCAGCCTTCAGCTTACCCTCCCTACCCCCATACTCATGTATTTAACGAGTGCCAAGGGAAAGAAAAAATTTAAGTAGACATTTCCTTTCCCTTTCTGTGTGTGTTTTTGTTTGTTTGTTTGTTTTGGTTTTTGGGTCACACCCGGCTATGCACAAGGGTTACTCCCAGCTCTGCACTCAGGAATTACTCCTGGTGGTGCTTGGGGAACCCTATGGGATGCTGGGAATCGAACCCTGGTCAGCCGCGTGCAAGGCAAATGCCTTACCCACTGTACTATTGCTCCGAGCCCGTTTCCTTTCCCTTTAAAGTAAGTTTTCAACCCAGCAGATCAGAAACCCCAGCTTCCTCACGTGACTCGTGGCTTCTTTCCAATATCGTTCTTCATGAACCGAACAGAACTGACAGGGAAAAACATGAACCAGACACTCCCCAGCGCCTTGGGCAATGCCTGTGGCTCACTCTCCTCCCGGGATCCCGGGACCCCGAGACCCCAGCTTCTCCGAATGTGCCGGATCCCAGCTACTGCAGAGAAGAGAGGAACCGTCGTCTAAAAATAGTTCTTAATTAGTGGGAGAAGATTTCTCATGAATTCACAAATGTTTTGTTTTGTTTCTTTCCTCAGCATTCCAACCCTCATCGAAACACTAGGAATAAAACTCACTATGGGCTTCGGGAATCCCACTCTCCTTTCAGCAAACCTCTTCACTATTCCTGCTTTCCCAGACACCTATAGGCTCTGGCTTCTCTTTGTTTCAAGGTGTGCTGAGAGGTTGGAAGGATAGCACAGTGGGGAGGGCGCTCACCATGCACGCGGCCGACCCGGGTTTGGTCCCCCACATCCCGTATGGTTCCCTGAGCACTGAGCACTGCCAGGAGTAATTCCTGAATGCAGAAACAGGAGTAGGCCCTGAGCACAGTCAGGTGCACATGCATGCGCGCGCGCGCGCACACACACACACACACACACACACACACACAGCAGTGCCGAGAGCTCTTGCCCGTCTCCGTGTGACCTGTCCCTGTGTCCACCAACCGCAGCTGCTGAGCCCCTGAACCAGGAGCTGCCCCTTGGCCAGCAGCCTCATCGTGCATGCTTGCTCATGGGCGCCTGCAGCTCCGTTCCCCAGACCGCGGTCACACTCGATCACTCAGTCCCTGCTTCTCCCTCATCCCACTCCCATGGCCCTTTGGGGAAGAGCTCGCTGTCCCCACGCCGCCTGGCCACCCGGTCATAACCTTTGTCACAAGAGCAAGCCCGTGTCCCGAGCTGAGATGCTGGCTTTCCCCAAAGAGCCTTGGGCCCTGTTGGGGGTCCCCTAGCAGAAGGAGCCCACAGCAAACGTCCTTCAGTCCCTGAAGCCGGAGGCGTGAGCCAAGCGTCCAGAGCAGAAAGAGCCCTGGAGAACCGCATGGCCGTGCCAGAGAGGGTCAGCACGCTGGCTTGAGTATCTCTAGCAGGGCAACTCCCGGGTCCTCGCTGCGTCCCGCATGACGGTGGCCAGCACGGGTGTCCCCAGGACCATGCTCAGGAGCCAGCTGCCCCGTGAGCGTCCTTCACCCCCAGCCGTAAGGGAATCTCCTGGCCCACCAGGCTGCTGTTAGTTGCTGCCGGGCTCAGAAGGCGTCTTTGCAGCCTGGGATTGGGTGTGAAGGGAGAGAGCTGCCTCAGATGAGCATGCCTGGCTCTGCCGTGGGACAGCTGTGTGGGGACCGGGGGTCAGCCGCGGCCCTTTCTCACTTCCGCAGAGCAGGAGCGATTGGGAGAGAGGGGGCGCTGACACAGGAAGCAGCCACTTGTGTTGTTAGCAAGTGCGTCAGGAGTGACAGGAGAGGCTGCGAGGGCTGCCTGCCCGAGAGTCATCAGTCTAGGCTGGCGCTGGCGGGACCCTATTTCTGTTACTTAAATGGAAACAATTAATTGAATCCTTAATTAATATTTTGTTCTGTCGGGGGGCTGTACCTGGAGATCCCCAGGCTTCCTCCTGGCTCTGCACTCAGGAATTACTCCTGGCAGTGCTCAGGGGACCATATGGGACGCTGGGGATGGAACCCACCTTGGCCGCTTGCCAGGCAAACGCCCCACCTGCTGTATTATCCTTCCAACACCAAATCCTTAATTAATATTTTTAAATTACAGAGAAGTTCTTCCCAGTGCTAAGTAGGATGGTGAGGCCCAAGCGACAGAGCAGTGACAGGGGCACTTGCCTGGCAAGCAGCCAAGCCGAATTCCATGGCCAGCATCCATATGCTTGCCCAAGCCCACCGGAGTCTGTCCTGAGTTCAGAGCCAGGAGTAAGCTCAGAGCATCTCTGGATATGGCCTAAAAACCAAACAGATCACCAAGAGGGACAGCAGAAGGCCAGGAGCAGTCTGCGCAGGGGACCGAGCTCTCACATGCCTTCAAGCCTCTTCCCTTTGGGTTTGCCTCGGCCTCTAGTCAAATTTCCATCCTTGACATCCTGTCAGCCTGGGTTTCCCCTCAGATGTGTAAGGTTTGAGTGGGAGCTTGTTTGGACGAGGAGTTTGCTCCCTCCGAGGCGTGTTCTATAAAGTGTCTAGCTCATCGAGTGCTGGAAGCCGATGAAATGATGAAACCTCCCTAGTGGGTGCATTTTCATTTGGAAACCTTAGAAGTCACAAAAGAACTGACGGAACCCTACCGGGAGGCAGCCAGATCAGTGGCAAATGCCTTAAAACCTGCACCTCGCTTCACGCCCTCCTCCCTGCTGCTCCAGCTCGTACAGGAGGGTCTGGGGGCTGGCATCCCTCTTGGGCCATCCAGAGTCCACGGGACCATCCCACCAAGGTGTGTGTTTAGTGAGAGACACAAAATTCCTGCAAAGTCCTCAGAAATGTGCTTAGAAGATCCTGAATTGAAAGAGTTGGAGGCATTTGTTGGGATGTGTCGGACGGTTGCTGCCTTCCATTCAAGTGAGGAGAATGTTCCACGTCTGAAAGCTTCTACAATCACACAGATGTTCATATCTGCACACCCCTCCCTGGTGTGGAACTGCCCCCTTCCCTTTATAAGCTCCCACCTTAATCTGCAGTGGCTGAAGCCAACTATGACAGGGAAACCGCACGGGAGCCACCATTTTTCCTTTTGCCCTTGAAAACTCGTGTTTGGAAACAATCTTCATTGGCATCTGCATGCGTGCACTCTGTCGGACTGGCACAATGAACGTATTCATGTCAGTGACCGAAGGACACCTTATTAAGTCCACAGACACAGGCAGGAAGACAGTATCACAAGCCTACAACCAAAGTCTTGGGATTTTGATTTGAAAATGTACTTCCTGTACAGAACAGAATAACTGCATTTTTTTTTGAGAAAGGGGTACGATAAATTACCAGCATGGCACTCCCCTCTCTGGTATTTGCGAGGAGACTGGGGGACTTGAGAAGAGGCCTTGCAGCCACCTCCAAGCCTGCGCTGGCCCGTCTGGGAGGCCCTGGGGAACTGCTCACACAGCTAAGCCTGGGATTCCAAGGATGGCGCGAGGTGATTTTCCTCGTATTTAGGAAAGTCCTATTTCCGACCAAGCAGAGCGGAGCCTTTTTCTCTGGCCCCGGCGCTGGACCGAGTCCCCTCCACGCCCTCAGCTCTGGGGAGAAGCTGTGGTGCCAGTCTCAGCTGCGGCTAGGGTGACCCTGGAAAGCCCACATGGCCCCGCGGACAATCCCATTCCCGAATGACTGCTGCCTCCCTCGTTAATCTGCAGCACCCTTCTGGGCCTCAGTTTCCCTCACCTGCTAAGGAGAGCCTTGCCAGAGTAACCCCCCATGGGTGAGTGGGTTTTTTCAGCTATGAGCCTTGCCCTGGACCCATGCCGTTCTGTACCCCACTTCCCAAGTCGCCCGTGGGCCCTGAGGGGCGCAATGCAGAAGCCCTTGAGCCCCAGGGCACTGCCACAGGAACAGAGGCGGGGACCAGGTCTTGCAGCCCCCTCTGCGCCCCTCCACCCGGAGCTGGAGCACCCCCACAGTGCAATGCCACTCGCCGTACCTAGCTACCACCATGCATGTGGTGAGAGTCGTGCTGGTGGCACGGGCCAGGGAAGGGACAGACGCAGAATGGTCTCTCCTGTGCGGGCGTGAAGGGGCACAGTGAGAGTCACTTGTGCCCGAGGGTGGCAGAAGGAAACGTAGGACTGGCCTTCAGTGGGAGGTTCGCCACAGCAGGAGCAGGGGACACTCGGTGCGGCTGGCCCCAGGACCTTGTTTCCACCCCAGGAACCTGTCCAGGGGAGCGAGAGAGAGCATGCCTGGGTCTTTGGCGTGTGACCTCTCCACTCTACCCAATTGGGGAATCGGAGAGCACTGCCCTGGAGTGAGGGCGGCTGGGGGGGGGGCGGGTAGGAGGGGAGCGTGGTGGGGTATGGGCCTCTGGGCATGGGCTGACCCATGTGTGTCCCCCAGTGCCTAGCCCCTCCTGTAACGGCTTCGACGGCGCGCTCCCGAGGCTGCCGCTGGGGAAGGACGCCTGCTTCATCGCCACGGTGCGCCTGGCCACGCCGCAGTTCTTGAAGGCGAGTATGTTGGGATGCCCCGGCCCCTGGGGGTCCCCCGCAACAGCCTTCCCGGAAGGGCGTGAGCCCAGCGCCACCCAGGTCTGCTCCCAGCACGGACACCGCTGCATGTCGCCTGCAGTGGGGAGAGGGGCTGTGAGGCCGTGCTCTCTTCTTCTCTCACCATATGAGCACCACTGGGACTGGTTCCTGGGGAGGGCTGGCCTGGGCCCTCCCCCTGCGCACTGCGGATGCTGGGAGCGGGGTCAGTCGCAAAACCCCTCTGTGTGTCTTCTGCTTAGAGAAGGGAGTGGTGTGACCTTTGGGTCCGAGGTGTTTCCCAGCTTGAGTCATAACTTCAGTTCCAGCTGATACCCACCCTAGCTCCAGATGCAGAAGGTCTGCCCGGCAGCCTGGAGACTGGTGCCAATGGCGCTAACCACTGCCCTGCCCCCTGAGCGGCCTCTCTCCCTCTCCTGCAGGAAATGTGCATCGTTGACGAGCCTTCAGAGGAATTCACTTCCAGGCATAGCTTGGAATGGAAATTCTTGTTTCTGGATCACAGGTGTGTGGGAAGAAAGAACCGATTGGGGCTGGGTTGTTTGCCAGGGTCTGTCCCAGGGCGAGGTGGGTTCCTGCAGCAAGGGAAGGGCTCGCAACCAGCCCAGGGGCCACTTCCTTCCCACTGCAGCGCCTGTGGGGGTGAGTGCGCGGATCATGCCGGTGCAGGGGCCTTTGGCTCCCACTGAGCCGTCACCCCACCCACCAGCAAGAATCGATGCAAGAAAGCCCCTCTCCCCATCAACCTCATTCCTCCAGCCTGAACCCCCCCTTAACTGTGGTCAGTCTCTTCCAGTTTAAGAACCGTCCACTCCCCTCCCTTGTGTCCACGTGGGCTCCGGCCTCCCTTCATCTTGGCTGTTTCCTATCATTCGCGAGTGCCCGTGTCGATTCTCATGCGGGCCGGGCTGGAGTGGGCCGACCCCCAGGCCCTCAACCTTCCCACTTGCTCCCCACCCTCTCTGATGACGACCCCTTGGCCTGGCAGAGCCCCTCCCATCATTGGGTACCTGCCGTTCGAAGTCCTGGGCACGTCGGGCTACGATTACTACCACATCGATGACCTGGAGCTCCTGGCTCGATGCCACCAGCACTGTGAGTGCCCCCCGCCCCGCCCCGGGGCCCTGCTGGGTGCTGGGAGGTCATAACCATTTCTCTGCGATGCCCTCGTGCCTGGCGTGGGTCCTCGTCGGAGTCTCCTGAGGTGGTTGACACCTGGACCTCTGCTGTGCCAATGCCCCCATCACTGCCCGGTCCTTCCTACTTCACAGCAACTCAGGTGATGCTGGTCGAGGCGCTGCAGTCTAAACTGCGTCTCACATCGTCCTGACTCAAGCACCGCTGTAGCAGCAGCAGCTGCAGGCTGGACGCTAAGTCGGACTGGGGACTTCAGCGGGAAGCCCTTGGCAGAAGTGAGCTCTGACGGCCAGTGGGAGGACGATGGTTGTGGGAATGTGCACAGGGTCTAGACGCCCACTGGGGAGAAGTGAGCAGGAGACCCTGTGAAGGACCGTTGATGCCGGAGCCTAGTCTGGGTTCTGAGCAGAATGCTCCCAGCAACCTGAGCTGGAGGCCCTGAGGCCGACTGACCCCCCTATCTCAGGAGCTACGTGTAATCCCTTTGTGCCGCTCCCGCTGCCAGGAGCACCGAGGGCTCCATCAGCGTCTGCCATGAGTGTGTAAGGAGGATCTTTCACACCTGCTTCTCAGGTCGGGAACAGCACAGCACGAAAGGGCCCCTTCGTGCCCTGCCTGGCTTCCATCCCCATCCCTGGTATCCCATATGCTCCCTGGAACATCTCCTGGAGTGACTCCTGAGTGCACAGCCGGGGGTAGCCCTGAGTACTACTGGGTGTGGCCCCAAATCAAAATAAAAATCAAGTTAAAAAATAATAGAGCCCTGCTCCTCAGAGTGTGGTTCCCTCACAAGGGGTCTGCTAGGCGTCTGTCTGGGCCCTCGGCCCATGGCTCAGAACCTCCACCTGACCAAGACCCCCAGCTCACAGGCACAGCTACTCTACTTCAGCTCTCTCGGGCTGTTCCCACAGAGGAGAGAGGTAGAGGGTGCCCTCCGTCCTCCGAAGGCTGTGCCCCTGGTCGGGCAGGATAGTCCCACCCTGTCCAACACAACACTCCTCACTCCCCTGGTTTCTCTCATTTCTCTTTGCTTCAGACCTCATGTTCTCCAAGATACTCCCTTCGTGTATAGCTTTAACCTCCCAGTTAGGATCTCTCTCTCTCTCTCTCTCTCTCATTTTGGGCATTAGGGTTTTCAATATGGATGGCGAAATGTTATCATCTATATTCCTTTGCCTACTCTCAACACTCAGTTCCTGTCCAGAGTGATCATTTCAAGCTAGTATTGTCGTAATGGTCCCTCCTCTACCTTAACTACCCTCCGCCCTCCACACCCTTGTGGTTATCCCCAACCATTGACCAGTCCTCCTGGCCTGTTTTCTCTGGCCTTGGATACGAGTTTCATACTGTCTTTTATGTAGATCTCCCACAAATATATTCAGTCATTCTATATCTGTCCCTCTCCTTCTGACTCATTTCACTCAACATGAGGCTCTCCAAGTTATAGTCCTTTATAGACAAATCTCATGACTTCCTTTTTCCTAACGTCGTACTCCATTGTGTAGATGTGCCATAGTTTCTTCATCCACTCATCTCTTCTTGAGCGCTTGGGTTGTTTCCAGATTCTGGCTATGGTGAATGGTGCTGCAATGAACATAGGAGGGCAGATGGTGTTTCTGCTGTGTTTTGGGGGCCCCAGGGTATATTCCCAGAAGTGGTATTGCTGGATCAAATGGGAGCTCAATTTCTAGTTTTTTGAAGAAAATCCACATCGTTTTTCAAAAAGGCTAGATCAGTTGGCATTCCCACCAACAATGAAAGAGAGCCCCTTCCTCCCTGCATCCGCGCCAGCATCGGTTGCTTTTGTTATTTTGGATATGTGCCAGTCTCTGTGGCGTGCGATGATATCTCATTGTTGTTTTGATCTGCTTCTCCCTGATGATTAGTGATGAAGAGCACTTTTTTTCCCTTAGCTCTTTTTTTAAATTTTTTTTTATTTTTAAATAAATCACCGTGAGGTGCAGTTACAGACTTACAAACTTTCATGCTTGCGTTTCAGTCATACAACGTTCGGGTACCCATCCCTCCACCAGTGCCCATTCTCCACCACCAATGATCCCAGTATCTCTCCTACCACCCACACCCCATCCCCCCACTCCACCCTGCCTCTGTGGCAGACCATTCCCTTTTGCTCACTCTCTCCTTTTGGGTGTTGTGGTTTGCAATAGAGGTATTGAGTGGCCATCATGTTCACTCTATAGTCTACTTTCAGCCCGCGTCTCCCATCCCGAACGGGCCCTCCAAGCACCCGTTACTTGGTGTTCCCTTCTCTATCTGAGCTGCCTTTTTCTCCAGCATGTGAGGCCAGCTTCCAGGCCATGGAGCAATCCTCCTGGTACTCATCTCTACTATTCTTGGGTGTAAGTCTCCCATTCTGTTGCTTTATATTCCACAAATGAGTGCAATCTTTCTATGTCTGTCCCTCTCTTTCTGACTCATTTCACTTAACATGATACTTTCCATGTTGATCCACTTATACATGAATTTCATTACCTTATCTTTTCTAACAGCTGCATCGTATTCCATTGTGCAGGTACCAAAGTTTCTTTAATCAGTCATCTGTTCTTGGGCACTCAGTTGTTTTACAGATTCTGGCTATTGTAAACAGTGTTGCAATGAATATACAAGTTGAAGAGCACATTTTTTTTTCTTTTTGGGTCACACCTGGTGATGCACCAGGATTACTCCTGGCTCTACACTCAGGAATTACTCCTGGCGGTGCTTGGAGGACCATATAGGATGTTGGGGATTGAACCCAGATCGTCCACGTGCAAGGCAAACACCCTGCCGACTGTGCTATCGCTCTAGCCCCTTGAAGAGCACTTTTTCATGTGCTTTTTGACAATTCAAATTTCTTCTTTGAGAAAATTTCTGTTCGCTTTTTCTCTCCATTTTTTGATGGGGTTGGACACTGTTTTTCTTGTAAAGTTCTACAAGTGCCTTGTATAAATCTTCTATTAGCCCCTTATCAGATGGGTATTGTGTGAATAGTTTTTCCCATTCCGTGGGCTGTCTTTGTGTCTTGGTCACTGTTTTCTTTTGGGGTTCAGAAGCTTTTTAGTGCAACATAGTCCCGTTGGTTTTCGTTTGTTCCTACTTGCTTGGTCAGTGGTGTTACGTCTTTGAAGATGCCTTTAGCGTCAATGTCACAGAGGGGTCTGCCTGCATTTTGCTCCATGTACTTTATGGATTCAGGTCTGATGTTGAGGTTTTCAATCCATTTTGATCTGGTTTTTGTGCATGGCCTTAGACAGACACCAGAGTTCATTGTTTTGCACGGAGCTGTCCAGTTTTCCCAGCACCACTTGTTAAAGAGGCTTTTCTTGTTCCACTTCACATTTCTCGCTCCCTTATCAAGGATTGGGTGGTCATATATTTGAGGGTCTGTGCCAGTGGTTCATAGGATCTCTCTCGTCACATGAAGAGGCTCCAGCAAAGCCGGAAGTGTTTTCTGCTCTGAACTCACTTCCAGTCTGGCGTCATGCAAGTGGATGAGTGGAGTCAGCGCTTCCCAATCCCCCCCCCCCCCCCGCCCACATCCTTCAGAATGCAGCGTCCATTCTGCGCTGGGCACTCCCGAACAGCCCAGGGGCTACAACGTCCCATGGCAGCCGGCCTCCGTGGCAGGGCACCTCTCGCCCACTCTGGGGGACCGGCACCTGCTGGCCCCAACAACGAGTCTCTCTCCAGTCTGATCCTCCGGCCTCTGAACTTCCCCACGCCCATCCGTGGCTCCAGAGGCACCAGCTCGGCTCGGGACCTCGGTAGAGCCTTTGGGAGAGCGAGTGGGTCTGCCTGTCCTGTCCTTGCCGGTGTCCTGAGAGGGGGCCTGGGGTGCAGCTGGGGCCTGGTTCCAGCCCTGGCACTACTTGGCCCAGAGTGTCCCCCCACACACACAAAGTATCAGCCCAGTGGGGAAAACTAGCAAGCTTTGGGTGTTTTTTTCCGGAGGGCTGGACTTGCTCCATTGACCCAAGGCAGGGCTGCTCACCCGCCCTCCTCTGCCGCAGTGATGCAGTTCGGCAAAGGCAAGTCCTGCTGCTACCGGTTCCTGACCAAGGGCCAGCAGTGGATCTGGCTGCAGACGCGCTACTACATCACCTACCACCAGTGGAACTCCAAGCCCGAGTTCATCGTCTGCACGCACTCGGTCGTCAGGTATGTGGCTGGCGGGGGGGGGGGGGGGGGGGCGGGGGGACAGGGGGCAGGGATGCAGGGTCAGCCCACAGGACAGCCACCAGCTCCTGGTTGGCCGAGACGACCCTGATGAGAGCCCTGAGACACACCAGAGACCTCAGGGCCCTCGGGGGCCTGGACGCCCCAGGAGGGAGCAGTGGCGAGTGCTGACTTTGCTGGCCCATCCGTCAGGTGGGAGAAGAGTCAGTTGCCTCTGAGTGACTCAGACACATACTCGCCTTTATGTGCAAGGCTGGGTTGACATGGGGGGACCCAGGCTGCCTCAGGAATGAGGTCTGGGACCCTGGGGGCCGCCCTGCATGCAGCAGCCACGCCTGTGTGCCAGATACAGGCTGCAGAGAGACAGGCTGCAGAGAGACAGGCTAGAGAGACAGGCTGCAGAGACAGGATGCAGAGACAGGATGCATGGAAAGGCTGCAGAAAGACAGACTGCAGAGAGATGGCCCATACAGGCCACTCAAGGGAAGGAGACTGGCCCTTCGTTTTGTTTTTTTTTTTTTGTTGTCTTACTTGTTTTTGCTTGGGGGGCCACACCCTGCAGTGCTCAGAGCTCGCTCCTGGCTCTGTGCTCAGGGACCTCAGTGGGGTCAGCCACACACCGGGCAGCCGCCCCACACTGCTCTGTCCTCGGTGGCTCCTGGGCTTGTCTTTCCTTCCTTCCCTGCTCACAGAAATGTTAAGGACATGAATCCAACTGGGCGATTATTGTGAGGACCGACCGCACACATGCCTCTCCGGAGTTTCTCGTGCCTCTGTGCTCTGGTGGTGCTCAGGGAACTGAAGGGGCTCCCCGAGTCTAATCCAGTCTCCACACACGTGCTCGGCCCACTGAGCTCTCTGGCCCCACGGGTCAGGCTTGAGCTGGCCTGGAGCAGAACATCTGAGACGAACCAAAACAGGAAGCAGTGTGCATTTTATGTGTGTATATGATTCCTAGCGGATTGAAGCATACACCCTCGTAGATGCCACACATCCAAATTCATTGTGTACACGCGTGATGTCCAGCAGGGAACTAGACACATGGAGGCTCTACACACACACGCCCTTGGTTTCACCAGTGCAGAGGCCAGTAGTAATGAAGAGGGGTATGCTTTCCAGTACTGATACACAGTGGTGCATCATGTGAATAGACATTTCAGGTAGATCGCTGCCAGCTTATACGCGCATGAGTTATAAGCGTTCTCTATTTCATAGATGTGCATAACATTGGTGACAGGTAGCTGAGTACACAGCTCTGTCCGCCGCCCACTGCCCAGCCAGCCAGCCAGCCAAGATAGTAGCTAATAATATGGCTAGGTGGTGCTGAGGCTAGGTACTCCAGCACACGTGTGTGCACCCACGTGTGTGGGGCCGGCAAGTGGACCTCTGGCCTGAGCTCGGGGGAGAGGAGAGATGAGTGAACTCACGGCCTGGCTGGTGGCCCTGAGCGTCCCCTCACACCGCGTCCATCTGCACTCCTGCCTGCCGGGCCTCCCGCAGATGGCAGCCCACCCCGCCCCCTGCTGCCCGGCCGAGGCGGTGTCCAGGGAAGACCGGAAAACAGCGTCTCATTCATTCTTCAGACTCTGCCTTGACCTGAGGGTTTCTCCTTCCTCCAGCAACCAGATCCTAGAGAGAAGTTCTCCGAGCAGAGAGCGGGCTTGGGGGTGGATGAACACGCAGAGGAGCGGGAATTCCAGGTGCCAGGGCGCTCGGGTGCTCCTCGCCCATGTCCCCTGAAGGCAAGGCCTGGGCTCCCCAGCTGTCCCAGACAAGAGGGGCCCGTCGCCCGGCAGTGAGTGGGCCTAGCTGCCTGCACGTTCATCCGTCAGAGGGAACGTCTTCTAAGTACTCACAGTGCCAAGTGGCTTGTCTCTGCAGCAAACTCCAGACTGAATTAACCTTCTTAAGCTTCTCCTCCAAATGAGAGTAGATTTGTGTTGGTGGGAGGGGGGCCTGGAGAAGGAAAAGTGAAGGAAATCTTCCCTGGAATGCCACATTAGCAATGGCTCCGCTGGACCCTGGCTCCCCCAAGGCCCCCTCCCAGCTAGTCCCGGCTGGCGGCCACGGCGGTGGCGTTCCTGGAGTGGGCGTCCCTCGCAGATGCCTCCTGGTGCTGTCCCTGAATGTGCCTCGTCTGTCCCGCCAGCTACGCCGATGTCCTCGTGGAGCGGCGGCAGGAGCTGGCTCTGGAAGACCCCACGCCAGAGGCCGTCCACCCCCCAGCCCTGAAGGTAGGCTGGCTGCAGGGGGAGGAGACAGCCTTGGGAGATTAGAATAGAAGCAGTAGTGATGATAAGGAATGTTTTTAAACATGTTGAACTTGGGTGAAAAGTTCTATTTTGTTGTTGTTGTTGTTGCTCTTTGGGTCATACTCAGCGATGCTCAGAGGCTATCCTCCTGTCAGGAGTTACTCCTGGCAGTGCTCGGGGGCCACGTGGAAGGCGGGGGATGGAACCTGGGTCTGCCGCATGCCAGGCAAATGCCCCACATGGCGCTGTCCCTCCGTGTAGTTCTGCCCCCACCCCACTGCCACCCCCAAGCTGCCTCCACGCTGCTCTGAGCTGTGCTTGCTTCTCCCTTGGTGCACTCCTGTCCCCACAGAACTGGGACGGGCCCAGGCTGACCCCTGAAGGCTCTGTGGCACTGCTCTCTCCCCGAGCTCGGTCCTTCCTGTCCACGGACTGTCCCTTAGCCTGTCCTCCTGTCCTCCTGCCGCTGGGGACAAGAGATGCCCTAAGCCCCGGCCTGCATCCTTGGTGAGCTGCTCTGCTGTCAGAAGTGTCTTAGGAGAAGAATTCCTCTCCCAAAGCCCTGCCTGACCTCACCCCAACTGGAGCTACCGCAGGACCCCTGGCCCGCCGTGTGGACCTGCCAGCTGGGAACCTAAGAACAGAGCCCCGAGTCCTGGAGGTCATGCTCCCAGCACACACGTCAGCAGTAGGAGGGAAGCAGGAAGGGCGGGAGCCATGGGCCCAAGGCTGCCACCGGCTCCTGTCTTCCACCCGCAGAGGGAGCACTGGGAGAGGAGCCTTGTCCTCCCCTTGATTCCAGGACGTCAACGGTGGGAGGGAGAGTGTTTCTTTTCTTTTCTTTTTCTTTCTTTTTTTTTTTTTTTTTTTTTTTGCTTTTTTTGGGTCACACCCGGCAATGCACAGGGGTTACTCCTGGCTCTGCACTCAGGAATTACTCCTGGTGGTGCTCGGGGGACCACATGGGATGCTGGGAATCGAACCCGGGTCGGCCGCGTGCAAGGCAAATGCCCTACCCGCTGTGCTATCTCTCCAGCCCCTGGAGAGTGTTTCTTAGCATCCATGAGGTTCAGTTCCTCGGGCCAGTGACCCACACCCAACGTCTTGGCAGAAGCTGAAGTCGCGGGAATGGCCCCACAGCAGGGCGTCTGTCCACTGTAGACCAGGCAGCGGGGAGGAAGACAGGGAAGAGCGTGCCCGTGTCTACGCACCTATGGGGCTGTTGGCCAGCGTGGAGGCCGTCACTGCAGGCTTCACCCTCCCTGCTCCACCAGCCGAGGATTCCGGCATCAGGTCGAGAATGGAACTGGCCAGGCCTGGTGACCCCGTGTCACAGCGCAGGCCCTGTCAGAAAATCACTGTGGTCTCCAGGCCTCTGGGGTCTAGAGCCAGAGACTTCTCGGGGACACATCCAGGGAGACTCGTGTTTTGAGCACTGGGTGGAGTCCAGGAATGCCCGAAACTCCTGCTACCACCGGACTCACTCTCTTTTTGCCTAAATTTCCAAGGGGGCACTGAGTGATTGTTTTTCTGGTCAGTAGACCAAATCAGATTAGGGACCTCTAGCTGTAGACACAACGGTAACCTCAGACTGACAGCTGGGCAATGCTCTCCAAAGAGCAGCTGTGAATTGCGGACAAATCGGGGTTTTCGATTCAAGTCTGTTCCATAGGCTGTTTTTTATGAAATGCAAATTCCCTCACCTGGACACAGTGTCAGGCACGGCCGAGGGCTTGCAGGTTCCCCACTGTCCAGTCTTCCTGTGCTTATTTCACTGCTACCTCCAAGCACGCGGTTCGTGAAGAGAACTCCACTCTCCCGTGGGAAGCGGGGGTGCTGGGACCAAGCCCAGGCCTCCAGATTGGCATCTGCCTGAAACCCAGGCGCAGCCTGCCCTTTCTCCTGTGGGGGCCACATGCCAGAGACTCCAGCCAACACAGCTGCATGCTGTCCACTGCCACAGAGCCATGACTCAGAGACAGAATAGCCACACCCAGGGGATGGACATCTAACAACAGAGCACCTAGCCGGCAGAGGCCACACACCCACCTCCTCCTCCAGACTAGACCGGAATCCACAGAGCCGGATTCAGAATGATCGCAGGGCCAGAGAGGCAGAGTGGTGGGAGGGCACTGGCCTTAGTGCAGGCATCTACGTTCCATCCCCACAGTCCACACAGGCCCCCCAGCACGCCGGGAGTGATCCCTGAATACAGAACCAGGAGTAAGCCCCGAGCACTGTTGGGTGTGGCCCCAAAACCTAGACCATCATTTTTTAAAATGTAAAATGATCCCAGATAGGCCTGGAGATGTGACTAGGCAGGGCCCAGGATCTGGCACAAACACACCAAAAAATGAGGCTGACCCTCTACTCCACCAGCAGGGAGCTCATAGCTGTCATATGTCACTGACCTTAAAGCCGGCATCCTCTGGACATGAGACAGTGTCCCTTTCCTCATTTTCCACCAGGAAGGACCAATAGTGTGGGAAGTAACGGAAGGGTCCAAATGCATTTGTTCAGTCAGAGCATCAACAAATCAATAATACCAGCAATATATCTACAGCTGCCTCTTCCTCTTCTGGGAAACCCAAGAGGTGCCAATTTCAAGGAAGAAAATAAAATGCAAAGTCAGTTTTAAAAAAAAATAAAAAACCTTAAAAAATCACAATGCAAAGTGAGAAAACATAAATACTGCTTCTAGAATATCAGCATCTCTGATACCTAGATTACACACACACACACACACACACACACACACACACACACACACACACACACCGTATTCCACGGTAATGTGTTGGGAGACTACTCTGAAACTACTACAGGATTTTTTCAACAAGTCTTCGCACTTTTCTGTGGCAGGATTCACTGTTGTCATCTCAATGTTGAAGTGTGTGTGTGTGTGTGTGTGTGTGTGTGTGTGTGTGTGTTTCAGGACAAAGGCTCAAGTCTGGAGCCTGAGCAGCACTTCAACGCCCTTGACGTGGGCGCGTCCGGCCTGAGCACCAGTCACTCGCCATCAGCCTCCTCCAGAAGCTCCCACAAGTCCTCGCACACAGGCGTGTCGGAGCCCCCCTGTGAGTCCAGCCCCGCACGGGTGCAGGAGGGATCCTCCGGGCCCACGGGCGGGAGTGGGGCCGGGGGACGGGACGTGCGCAGGGCATTGGTTTGTATCTGCTCCCGCCCTGCTCCAGATGTGGTCCGGAGCAGATGCCAAGGAGGCTTGTAGCTGGCCAGCTCTGCTCACGGGCGAGGCATGGGGGCCAGCTGCGCAGGCAGTTGGAGCAGTGGCGGGAATCGAGTTGGGGTCTTTGCCATGTCACCCCCTCCCGGGCCTGGCTGACCGTGCGTTGGTGCTGGCCTCTCTTCCTGAGATGCCCCAGCCCTCCTCCCTCGCCACCCTATTGTAGTGCTCCCCCTCTGAGAAGCACGCCCTGAGTCCTGAGTCAGGAAGATGGTCTCTTGCTTTTTCACAGCCACTCCGAGCAAGCTGATGGCCGAGGCCAGCACCACGACTTTGCCAAGACCAGACCTCCCCGTGCCGGGGCTCTGCCAGGCAGCCACGATGCCGGTATGTGCGATGCTGAGCCCCCCTCTGGCACGCTGCGGGGGGAGGGAGGGCAGGCCAGCATCTTCCCGAGGACCGATTCACTGAGAAACGAGGGGCTGGGGAGGCGAGGTACGGGGTGGGGGCCGGGCAGGTGGGATGGTGTCTGTAGGTGGCAGTGCTGGCGAGGATCGGCGCCCTCTGAACCCCAATCCACACAGTCTGGAAGACAGAGCCCAAGTCCTGGGAGCGAGAGGCTCTGCGCCATGGGGGCCGGGCAGTGTCACAGGGACCCTTCCATCGGACCCTGGGGATGACTCAAAAGTCCCTCTGCAGCGACTGGGGGGCTCTCTGGAAGAGGCCCAGCATGCCAGGAGCTCAGGTGTGGGGCCCCGGAGAACAGGATTGGCCAGTGGGTCAGGGTCCGGGGGCTGTCGCCACATAGCACACCCAGCCACACGTATGCTCGCAGATTCTGAAGAACCTCGACAGGGGCCGGAGTGGCCCCTCTGCCTGGAGACAGGCGCCTCACTGCTTGGGCCTGGAATTTGCTTCCTGTTGTCCAGTCTCCTGACGAGGCCGGACCCCACGGGGAGAGTCTGCCCTGACATACCCTGGTGACAGTGGCCAGTGCTTGGTGACAGTGGCCAGTGCCTGGTAACAGCGGCCAGCGCCTGGTGACATTGGTCAGTGCCTGGTGACAGTGGTCAGCACCTGGTGACAGTGGTCAGTGCCTGGTGACAATGGTTCATGCCTGGTAACAGTGGCCAGCGCCTGGTGACAGTGGTCAGCGCCTGGTGACAATGGTCAGTGCCTGGTGACAGTGCCAGTGCCTGGTGATAACAGTCAGTTCCTGGTGACAGTGGTCAGCACCCGGTGACAGTGGTCAGCACCTGGTGACAGTGGCCAGCGCCTGGTGACATTGGTCAGTGCCTGGTAACAGTGGCCAGCGCCTGGTGACGGTGACCAGTGCCTGCTGAGCTCCTGCACATGACATCCCTGCGATGTCCACCGCCCGCAGTCCTGGAGCAGAGGCTGGGGCACCTGCAGATCGTGCTGTTCTCAGCCAGCGGACACCCAGCCTCCCAGAGTCCCCCTGGCCTAGGGGACAGTGTACAGGCGCCCAGCTGCCAGGCTGATGACTCCACGCATGCAGAGGTGGGCGCCTCGCGGGCCGACCCCAGGAGCCCGCTCAGGTGTGTGCTGACCAGCTGTCGGCCATCTGTGACTGCCAGGGCAGCCCGGCTGCCTGCTCCCAGGGTCCCCTCGGAAGTCGGCGCTAGCTGCTTGGCAGGGAGTTCTCCGTAAGGCCGAGCCGGGCTGTGTGGGTGACTAAGCCGCCTCTCCCCAGGGCTCCCTGCACCCTGCGGCCTGCGACCGCACACAGCAGCTCCTGCCTCGGGCCGCCCTGCAGAGCCCACCCACGCCCGTGGCCCAGGTGAGCAGGGGAGGGCACCCAGGGTCAGGGGGTCCTCCTGTGTCTGGGGGGGCCGGCTATGCCATGTATCGAGTCAGAGTCCCCAGATGGGAGCCTTTTCCCCACAAACGCGGAGTGTGGGGGGCCCTGAAGCACCCTCCGTACTTCCCTTCGTTTTTGTCTGCCACATTCCTCTCCTTCCATACGGCTTCAACTTGGCCTTCAACCACGGGAAAGGTCCAAACTGGGCCACGTATCTCAGAGACCTATGAGACAAGTGTTACAAATACCACATCTGAGTCCCCCAACGGCAGAGAGGACGGGAGCTTTGTTGGGCGATTTCTCCCTCAGTTACCCCGACACTCGGTGAGTCGGTGGGCCATGAGTGCGTGCGAGGCCCTGTTCCGAGAACTCCGAGCTTACAGAGCGAGGGGCACAGAAACCCAGCCTGCATGGAAATTGCCGCATCTGCCTGACCTCCAAGACCAGGCGACCCCCGAGATGAGCCTGGTGGACGCAGGGAGGAAGGACAGAAGCGGTCCGCTGGGGACGGCTGCGCTTGGGGCTGGGGAAGGCAACGGAAATAGAGACCGTCCAGTCCAACGCTCCCCGAAGCCAGAGCCTGAGCCAGTCATGAGGCATCTTTGGCTCTGCTCTCTCTGCCCTCCAGGGGCCCTGCTCCATGCTGGCCTTGCGGACAGCTGCAGGCTGCAGATCTCTCCCCACAGACAGAAGCTCAGGAATATCAGTGGCTGATGTTTCTAGACCCAGAAACGCTCTCACTGGCACCTGTTTGGGGCCCGATGGCGGGGAAAGGGTGGAGGGCTGCCCTGCACACGCACTGCAGTGTCTTGACCTTCTCCGTTCAAGCAATACTGTCCTCCCTGACTTGACCAGTGCATGTGGTAAGAAACTAGGAACTTCTTCGACCCAAGGCACGTGACAGACTTTAAATTCCCGGGTCTTGCACTGAGAATGTCTGTGACATTACAGAGTGGACGCACCCCCCAATTACAGCCTGTGCACAAGTTCCCACAGAGAGCCTGGCGTCAGGATCCAATGTGGGATGGTGGTGGGACCCCCATCTAACAGGAGCTATTCCAGCAAGCCGCCAGCTCTAAGATAAGGAGGCAAAGGCGGGTGTCACAGATGCAGCCTTAGCGACATCGGGATCCGTTCTGTGGCACCTGGCCCGAGCCCCCACTGGGCCCTGGTGGTCACCACTCTGCAGCGGGCCCTGCCTGGGGGTGCTATGGGGCAGAGAGGGGACCGAGCATGGGGACGGTCGCTACCCGCACGCAGCCAAAGCCCCAGTCTGGGGGCAGAAATAACGCCCCCGCTTTTGTTTTCTGACTCTGCCTTGAAGTTTTCAGCTCAGTTCAGCATGTTCCAGACCATCAAAGACCAGCTGGAGCAGCGGACGCGGGTGCTGCAGGCCAATATCCGGTGGCAGCAGGAGGAGCTGCACAAGATCCAGGAGCAGCTGTGCCTGGTCCAGGATTCCAGTGTGCAGGTGACATGTCCCTGACAGGACCCCAGTGTGTCCCTGACCGGCCCTAATGTGCAGGTGACGTGTCCCTGACAGGGCCCCAGTGTGCAGGTGATGCAACCCCTGACAGGGCCCCAGTGTGTCCCTGACAGGACCCCAGTGTGCAGTGACACATCATGACAGGACCTCAGTGTGTTCCTGACAGGGCCCAATGTGCAGGTGACGTGTCCCTGACAGGACCCTAGTGTGCAGTGACACATCCCTGACAGGACCCCAGTGTGTCCCTGACCAGACCCTAATGTGCAGGTGACGTGTCCCTGACAGGACCCCAGTGTGCAGTGACACATCATGACAGGTCCTCAGTGTGTCCCTGACAGGACCCTAGTGTGCAGGTAACGCACCCCTGACAGGGCCCCAGTGTGTCCCTGACAAGACCCCAATGTGCAGTGACACATCATGACAGGACCTCAGTGTGTCCCTGACGGGGCCCCAGGTGCAGGTGACACATCCTTGACAAGACTCCAGTGTGCAGGTGACATGTTCCTGACAGGGCCCCAGCGTGCAGGTGATGCACCCCTGACAGAACCCTAGTATGCAGGTGACACACCCCTCACAGGGCCCAGTGTGCAGGTGACACACTCCTGAAAGGGCCCCAGTGTGTCCCTGACAGGACCCTAGTGTGCAGTGATACATTATGACAGGACCTCAGTGTGTCCTTGACAGGGCCCCAGGTGCAGGTGACACATCTTTGATAAGACCCCAGTGTGCAGGTGACATGTTCCTGACAGGACCCCAGTGTGCAGGTGATGGCCCCTGACAGAACCCTAGTATGCAGGTGACACACCCCTCACAGGGTCCAGTGTGCAGGTGACACACCCCTGTTAGGGATCAGTGTGCGAGTGACACATCCCTGACAGGGCCCAGTGTGCAGGTGATGCACCAATGACAGGGCCCCAGGTGCAGGTGACACATCCTTGACAAGATTCCAGTGTGCAGGTGACATGTTCCTGACAGGGCCCCAGTGTGCAGGTGATGCGCCCCTGACAGAACCCTAGTATGCAGGTGACACACCCCTCACAGGGCCCAATGTGCAGGTGACACACTCCTAACAGGGCCCCAGTGTGTCCCTGACAGGACCCTAGTGTTCAGTGATACATCAAGACAGGACCTCAGTGTGTCCCTGACAGGGCCCCAGGTGCAAGTGACACATCTTTGACAAGACCCCAGTGTGCAGGTGACATGTTCCTGACAGGGCCCCAGAGTGCAGGTGGCATGTCCATGACAGGATCCCAGTGTGCAGGTGATGGCCCCTGACAGAACCCTAGTATGCAAGTGACACACCCCTCACAGGGCCCAGTGTGCAGGTGACACACCCCTGTTAGGGCTCAGTGTGCGAGTGACACATCCCTGACAGGGCCCAGTGTGCAGGTCATGCGCCCCAGTACCCTGTCGCCATGTCCACTCAGGCAGGCCTTCCCCATAGCTCTGCTCACGAGACCTGTTGAAGCTTCTAACAAAGCCCAGCCCGAAGCTCTCCAGCACCCTCGCTGCCCCAGGAAGGCCACGTCCTCGCTGGCCTGTGGTTACCCCCGCTTCCTCTCCTCCTACCTCCCACTCCCCCTGCTGATGCTTCCCTAGTGGAGGCTGAGGTGAGCCCCACGGCTCATCCAGCTCAGGGCCCTCTGCTCTCCTCTGTCAGAGCATGGGTGGGGGAGGGGTGATGGCTGCGCACACGTGTGTTTGTGTGTGTGTGTGTGCATGTGAGGGGACAGCAGAAGGAGCCAGCCCCTGAGCCCTCGCCATCCCTCTTACCATGCTCTACACCGCAGCTGTTAACTGCAGCCCAAGGTGTCGTTCCCGGAGTCCTTTGAGACAGTCTTCCCACGGGGAAAGAGACTAGATGTCCCTATTGCGTCTCTGTAGTGGCACATGTTCCTGCAGGTTTCCTCTGTACCAGTCCAGGCTGTGTCCTGCCAGAGCAGGAAGGCACATTCCTCGCGGTGAAGCTGTCGCCTGGCTGGCCAGGCTGGCCCGGGAGCTGGCCGGGAGCAGAGGCCGCGCGGGGCCGACTGACTCCCTCTGGCCACGTGGGCTGAGTGGCAGGAGCGGGTGGGGGAGCTGGCGCCTGGGGGTGCCCCTGGAGGTGCCGGAAGTCCCGTCCCAATCCCCACTTGCAACCCTGCCTGCGGACACGCTCACCCCAGCACCACACACGCTCCCTGAGCACCACGGGCCACGGCCCCAACTGCCCCTGACCCCAGCTTCAAGAAAGAGAACAGAAGCCAGCCCGAAGTGCCCTGACGGGGATGCCCGGGGACGCCCCAGATCCTGCCCCCTCCCCTCCGCCCCCAGACAGCCGTCCAGGAGCCGCTGCCCTTCATCGCTTCTCCCCAGCTGCAGGACTTCCAGGGCCGTGCGCAATGCTTGCCTCAGCCCCGAGCACTTGAATGGGATTTTTAAATTGCTATGGACAAAGAGCCTGCAGGACCAGACTCGGTTAGTTCCTGCTTTTTCAGCATTAATGCTGATTTCTAGAATAACAGGCCACACACTTTCCACCTCCACCCCTGCCGAAACACTCTTGCTTCCCTCCTCGTGGCCAGTGCGTCTTGCTAACCCCTCCGGAGCACTGCGTCCTCCAAGAACTGCTTCATTCTCCACCCCTCCTTCCCTCTTTCCATTTCTGCACATTCGTCTTGCAGTGGGATTTTCCAAAGAACTCGGAAATGCAGCACAGAGAACCAGAGAAAATGTCCGAAAGCAATCCGCCTTCTTGTACTTGTGTAGGTCGAAAGATCAAAAATGAAATACACTCCAAAATGGTTACGAAAATAAGTCTTTTAGAGAAACCAAGAGGCAAAACCACATGCTTTACGTATAAAAGCCTTCTAGTAAACAGTGAGTCCCAGGAGCCCCCCAGAGCTCCTCCAGGTCAGACAGGACAGAGGTCGGTGCTTCGCAATTGCTCTGCGGGGCTCCCCTTAGCCGTCGCTCTCGCTCTGCACTTCTGGAATGTTCTGTCATAGAAACCCCTGTCCACGTCCTCAGGGAAAGGCACCTGAGCGTAGGTTGTTTGTTCACTGGGGCTGTTTTCCCCCGATAACGTTTCTCATTTGCGTTGGGGCTGACTTCTATCCTTGCGCTTCCTCTGAAGTTGCCCAGGTTTGCTTTGAAGCAATCTCACGTGTGTTTGGGTCCCTCTGCAGTCGCGCTGAGCCCCTCACTGGCCCCGGGGGCCTCCTGGGCTCCCCTCAAGGCTGTCGGCTGGGCGGGCTCCTCCCGCACGCACGTCGTGACCTTCCCACTTCTGTGGGTGTTCACTGAGACTCTGTGAGTCTCCAGGTGAGCAGGAGGGAGATGCTCTGGCCAAGAGCACTGAGTCCCGAGGAGGCAGCCTGGCCCCCACCCCCCTCCCCACCCCCTCGTGCTAGCCTCTGCGGCTCCTCTGTGGGAAACGAGCGCCCTCTGCTGGCCAGAACGGGGCCAGGAGGGACCGAGCAGTGACATAGTAACACGACGACGTGCTCCCGGGCCAGAGCCAAAGGACAGCAGAGGGCACTTGCCTCGCACACAGCCAGGGTCCCATCCCGGAGTCAGCCAGGAGTGATCCCTGAGCGCAGAGTCGAGTCAGAGCTGAGCACTGCAGAGTGATGCCCTGAACAGAAAGAAATGTGGTTTAACAGACTCACTGTGAGATACGCAGCGACAAGGCTGTTCCGGATTGGGTGTCCGTCACACGGTCATCCAACACCCATCCCTCCACCCGAGCACATTTCCCAGCCCAGAGTCCCCAGGTCCCCAGTTTCCTTTCTGCCACCCACCCACCTCAGCCCGCATCTATGAGCTATGGCAGGTCCCTCTGCGTCTCCCTCTCACCCGCCCTCTCCCTCTCTCACGCCTCCCCTCTCTCGGTCTGTCTCTCTCTCTCTCTCTCCCTGTCCATCCCTCTCTCTCATTTTAGGCATGACGGTTTGCGATACAGATGCTGAGAAGCTTTTATCTATATCCCTGTACCTACTTTCCACACTCAATTCTTGTCCAGAGCGATCACTTCCAACTAGTATTGTCATTGTACTCCCTTCTCTCCCCTAACTGCGCTGCACCCACCCACCCCCTCAACACACACACACACACACACACACACACACAGTGGCAGGCCTTCCACCATGCGCCAGTCCCCCAGGCCCCCGTCTTTCCTGTCCTGGTCTTAACTGACTCGGCTCCCTTGTGCCCCTGTCGTGGAGCACGGAGCGGGGGTGCGCGTCTCTGAGCGATGCCGCAGTGTCTGGCGTTACGCAAGCAAGAGGCTGCTCTCCAAGCAGAGCCTCATTCATCAGCTCATTTATTTATTCTGTGATTTCTTAGGCGGTTCCTATAGATCTAAAGAAGGAAAGGAGCGGAAAACTCCTTTTTTCCCTCCTTTTAGATATTACCACTGGCATTTGTTGTGTCTCAGCACAACTTCCACTTAATCCCATATAAAGTAGGTGCCACAGGGGCTGGAGCGATAGTACAGCAGGTCGGGCGTTTGTCTAGCATGCGGTTGACCTGGGTTTGATCCCCGGCATCCCATATGGTTCCCTGAGCACTGCCAGGAGTCATTCCTGAGTGCAGAGCCAGGAATAACACCTGAGCTTTGTCAGGTATGACCACAAAAGCAAAAAAAGAAAAGAAAAAGAATAAAGTAGGGGCTGGAGCAATAGCACGGCGGGTAGGGCATTTGCCTTGCACGCTGCCAACACAGGTTCGATTCCCGGCATCCCATATGGTCCCCCGAGCACCGCCAGGAGCGATTCCTGAATGCATGAGCCAGGAGTAACCCCTGAGCATCGCAGGGTGTGACCTAAAAAGCAAAAAAAAAAAAAAAGAAAAGAAAGAAAAAGAATAAAGTAGGTGCTATTAATGTCACTAACTAGCAAGAAGACTAGGAATAATGAAAAGCTCTGGAAACTGTCCAAGTGCCCTGAATTAAAGCACCTCTGATTTGAGCTTGTTATGCTGCTGGTCGTGAGGAAAGGCTTCTTTGCTCTCTATCTTTAATCCGAATGTAAATTGCATCCAGCCAAAAGATGGAAGTCTGATATTTGGTTTGAGTGCCAGGCGTTTGCTTCAGGGATAGCTTGCAAGCACTGTAGATGCCGTCTCCTGCTGGTAGGGAACCTCCATGACCAGAATGCGAGTCAAGAGAGAGGGTGGGCAGCTGCCGTGCTTCCCGCCTGGCCAGTCCCTGCCAGGACCCTCCCCCCAGCCGCTCCTTCCAGAGCCCAGACGCCAACCTGGTCACTGGGCATTCCTGCCCTTGCCCCGTGCCCAGCCGCTCTGGCACTGTCCCCTTACTGTGCAGCCTTGAGCCGAGTGTGGGCGCGGCCTCAGACATGCCCGCTCTGTCCCAGTTGTTCCTGCAGCAGCCAGCCTTGTCCCTGAGCCTCGAGGGCCAGCCGCCGCTCCCGCAGCGGTCGGCCACACGCCCGCAGCTGCAGCTGCCCGGACAGATGACCCCCGCCCCGGCCACAGCCCCGCAGCTGCTCCGAGACGCCAGCGTGATGCTCGCCCAGGTGAGAGGCAGGCAGCGGATCCGGAAGCCAACCGCGTCGGGGGGACCCTGAGCCCCAGGGCCGCGGTTCCCTTAGGTCACCTCGAGCCTAAGTCCGTGGAGAGATTGCTCAAGCTGTAGCGAACCCAGTTAGGCCCCAGGACTGTGATGCAGACCCGAGGACCCCCACTAGCCCTGCTGGCCCCCAGCACCGCCAGCTGTGAGCGGTGATTAGTATGTGAGATCCAGCAGTGCTCAGGAGCACCCCCGTGCGTGGGGACCCTCTGCAGAGCAGGGCTCAGCAGGCACCCCAAGCCCTTCTGCCTCTGCAGCGGAGGCTGGGGAGGGGCCGTGCTGGATGCCTGCTGTATCCTATGAGTAGGCACCCCCAGAGGGACTGCCGTGTGGACGCCCCAACGGTCACGCTACAGACACCTGGCCCTCACCCGCCGTCTCTCCAGGCCTGGCCATTCTCCGCCGGCCCTTCCGCCCTGCCTCCTCCCCGCAGTGCCCGTGGTGCAGCCACCCAGCTGTGCCGGCCAACGGAGAGTGGGTAGCAGCGTGGGCCGGGCCCAGCTTCCGGGTGTGGCGGAGGAGACAGGCCAGTGAGGAACGGCCTGCGGTCAGTTCTGAGGGCCTGAGTCCAGCCCCTCGGGGCTAGCCTCAGGCAGAAGTCTGCAGGGCCAGCACTGAGCACCCTCTCGGCCTCAGAAACTGCATCTGCTGGACCCTCGGAACATAACTGAGCACCAAGGCCGGCGAGTGCTCGCACGCCGAGTCCGTTTCCCTCCGACCCGAGGGCTTTCCTCCGACATGCGGCCTTTCTTGTACTGGGGTCCGACAATAAAACTAGCCAGTGAGAATAGTTGAGAAGCTCCCGAGAGGAAACGGAGGGAGCACGACACGGGCCAGTGGAGCTCTGAGACGAGACTCAGCACGTCTGACGGGGACGGGAGCAAATGCCAGCCACTTCCTCCCTCACGTCTCAGCAAGGAGCTGAGCCCGTTACCCGCTCAGGACAGGTGACGGCAGCGGGCAAAGGCCCAGCGTAAAGTAACAGACCAGCCCTGGAGAGGGGAGCACCTCAGGCGCTAACATGGCTCGGGTCAGCAGACCGGGCCAGCGCGGGGTCCACGGGCAGCCCTCCAGGTTAGGTGTGTGGGTCTCTCTATGCCTGAACTAGCTGGGCACCCAGGCCTCAGAGCAGACACGGGCAGTGCGGGAACAGGGCAAGAGTTGGACTGTAGGACTGACCTCCCCAGAGGCACCTTCGAGCAAAGACGTGAAGCAATGCGGGAAGGAGGGAGCCGGGTTGGAGGGCAGGGGAAGGGCCGTGGAGGGCGGCTGGGAGGGATGGGGGAGAGGGGCCTGGTGGGAAGGGCAGGGGGGAGGCTGGTGGGAAGGGCAGGGGCCGGGGAGTAGCTGGCCACGCGCCCATGCCATGGCAGTGCAGTTTGGGGAGAGAAGATTCGGCTGACCGGGTGTCTGGGCTCAGAGCTGAGGCCTGTCCCGGGTCCCCCGAGCTGGCGCCCACAGTGTCAGCAGACGGCTGGGGCCTCGGGAGACGCAGACGCACCCGCATCCGGGGCCGAGGGGCCGGAGGGACGAGCCCGACTGCATGTTCGTCTTGGAAATACCGTTGCAGGGCCAGAAGCCGGTGAGAAGCCCCCAGCTCCCGCAGGCCGGCGGGCAGCTGCCCTCCCCATTCAGCAGCACCGAGCCTGGGCTCCCCCCGGGGCACCTGGGCGCGCCAGCCCCCACCAGCCAGGACGCCAGCCAGTGCCAACCCAGCCCGGACTTCAGTCACGACCGCCAGCTCCGGTACCTGCTTCTGTCACCTCAAGGCGTCGGCCGCGGCTAGGGGCAGGATGCATGCTCCCCGGCCCTCCCGCTCACACTGCAGGGGCTCCTGCTCTGTCTGTCTGTCTGTCTGTCTGTCTGTCTGTCTGTGGGCCGGGCTGTGTCAGGCTCCATGCATGGCCGGCTCGAGGGATGCAGGTCAGGACTGGCCTCTCTGCAGGCAGTCTGGGAGCTGCCTTCTATCTTGGGGCAGTGCCCGGTGGTGCTCAGGGGTCACTCCCAGCCCAGTGCTCACAGCAGTCACTGGGGCTCTCACAGAACCCTTGGAGCTCGTCCTCGACCCGGGAATAAACATTCTGCCTCAGCTGACCCAGAGGCCAAAGTAGTCGCTCCGTCCCTGGGTGCAAGCCGGGCACCTCCCTTGGAAATTAGAAAGCAAGATGGCCAGGCCCCCTCCGGCTGCCCCACCCGGCCTGTCAGCATTGGGCCCCAGGGATGCCTAGGGGGGATGGGGCTGCAGGGGTGGGAGGGGCAGCTGCTGGGTCCTGACCAGTCCTCGGCGTCTCGCTCTCTGCCCAGGTTGCTCCTGAGCCAGCCCATCCAGCCCATGATGCCTGGGTCCTGTGAGGCGCGGCCACCCTCCGAGGCCAGCAGGACTGGACGGCCAGCCAAGTAGGTGGACAGGGAGGGGGCAGAGGAGGGTGGGCACCCTGCGTCCGGGCTGAGGTCCCCACCACCTTCCCTGGGGGACCCTGCCCTCACATCTCTCCATCGCTCCCAGGCGCCAGCTGAGTTCAGTCTCCCTCCTTCCCTTCCTGGGCGGTGTCCCGACACCTGTGGCCCCAGCAGACCCTTCTCCCTCGGGCCAGGCTATGCCATGGCACAGGGACGCCTGCAAGGGGGTGGGAGGGCATCCCACTGGCTCCCACACACACACCACGGACAGACGCTCTGCCCGCTTCTGTGCTGGTGACTGGAGTCCCAGGAAAATCAGTGGAGACTTGGAAAGGTTTCTGCAAAACAGTTTCTGACCCTGGGAAGTGAAGGCCGATTCATCTCACGGACAGTGTATGTGGGGGCCAGAGTGATAGTGCAGTGGGGAGGGCGTTTGCCTTGCATGCTGTCAACCAGGTTCGGTCCCCGGTATCCCCTAGGGTCCTGGAGCACCACCAGGAGTGACTCCTGAGTGCGGAGCCAGGAGGAGCCCCTGAGCATCACCGGGTGTGACCCAAAATGCAAGCAAAAGATAGACAGTACGTGAACACCGCAGCACCGCGAGAGGGTTGCTGGCTGGCACGACCCGGTGTCCCCAGCCAGGACCGGGCTGGTCCTTGTCACTTCTGAGTCGGCCCCTTCTTCTAGGCTGGCCGGATTCCCGTAGGTCCCGTAAGCAGTGGGTGGGGGCCGATAGGCTCCTCTGAACCTGCACAAGAAGGTGACCCAGCAGTCGTGCACTTGCCTTCATGTACATGGCCCCAGCTTCCATTTCGGCACGACACAGTCCCCTGAGCAGGGCCTGGAGCAGGCCCTGAGCACAGCTGGTTGTCATCCAAGCACCAAAAATAAATAAGTGCTCTGTGGTGCTGAGTTCTATCACTCCTGGAGCGATAGCTCAGCGGTAGGGCGTTTGCCTTGCACGCAGCCAACATGGCCGACCCGAGTTCGATTCCTCCGCCCCTCTCGGAGAGCCCGGCAAGCTACCGAGAGTATTCGATATGCCAGACACAGTAACAACAAAGTCTCCAATGGAGACTTTACTGGACCCGCTCGAGCAAATCGATGAACAACGGGAGGACCGTGACGGTGACCGTGACTGTGGTGCTGAGTTCAGGTGGGTGCAGGTGGGTTTGGGTTCTGGATCTTGCAAGACTCTCATTGCAATGCTGAGCCCCAGGCAGGATGGAAACTACTCCCTCTGATGGCAGACTGCAGGTGGCCGTGGCCACTGTGGCCACTTGGATCATTCCCGGCTCCCGTGGCCAGCTGGCTCTCCTCAGAAAGGCAGAGCCCAGCCCCTAAGTCCCTGACGAAATGCACGTCCTCACCTTTCTCCTGTTCTTCAACCTGCAGCCTGGTCTCTGTCCCCCCCACACACACACACACACTTTTCCTGAATTGGTTGTTCCCCAACTCTTCTGTTTAATGCTTTTATTGTGGTAGTACACACATAACTGAACACTCTCTGTTCTAAATATGGGAAGTGGGAGGCAGGGAGATGGCCCAGGGAATAAGGCAGCCGCCTTGCCTACTGCCAGCCCAGGTTTAATGCTCGGCACCCATGTGGTCCCCAAGCACCAACCAGGGTGACTGAGCACAGAGCCAGGAGCAGCCCTCAGCACTGCTGGGTGTTCCCCCCTCAAAGCAGATAAATGAGTCGATGAATAGTTGAAGCGTAACACGCTGCCACTGTCCCTTCCTGCGACTCCTCCCCTCCCGGCCAGCTCCACGGTGCGGAATCTCTGCACCAGTTAAAAGCGACTTTCCTTCCCCCACCCACAGGTGACGGCCACCATCCTCTTTTCTGCCTCGGAGTGGGCGACGCTCGGCCCCCTTCGTGTCCGCTGGGTTGACTGACTTAGTCGATCGTCCCGAAGGCCTGCCGCTAGGCCAGCAGACGTCAGCATTCTCTTTCCTCCTACAGCTGAACACGTTTCGTTTATGTGAAGATCAGACAATGGTCCTCTCCCCCCCCACCTCCCACCCCTGGACACTAGGTCTCTTGCACTTCTTGGCTACTGGGAAGCATGCGTCTGGATCATGCCTTTGTCTACGTAAATTAACATATTTTTGCGTGTCCCTGCTTTTACTTCTCTATGGTGTCTGTCCAGAAGTGGAATCGCTATTTCATACATTAACGGTTTGACTCTTCCAGAAATTCTGCTCTTCAGAAGTTGCACCGCTGAACACTCCCACCAGCTCTACGCCAGGGTCTGGTTTTTTCCATCCACATGCACCAGGGTTATGATTTTTTTTTCCCAAGCCTGCCGGTCGTTTTCATTACCGATTTCGGTTTAATTATAGCTGCCTTGTGATATATGGCGTTGATTGTGATTTGCACCTCCCTGACGACCAGTAAGGACCTGTAACCAGCTTCCCGTCCTGTGCTTATTGAGCACTGAGTCTTTTCTTTCGAGAAATGCTCATTCAAGGCTTTCGCCCATTTTTTCAGTCCTGTTGTTTGTGTTTTTGTGTTGTTGAGTTGTATGACTTGGTTTTATAGTCTGGATATCGAGTTTTATTAGATCTTGGCCTTTTCCTCAGTTGTCTACCCCAAGGCCCGTGTCCTTTGATGCCTAAAAGTTCTTACTCTGGTGTAGTCTAACAGATGTGTTTTCCTCTCGTGCCTGTTGTGTTGTACCAGCTGCTCCTTGCTAAACATGCTTTTCCCTCTCCCGTGGAACCAGCAGGTATGCTCCAAGCCAGGCGCTGTTCCAGAGTGCCGATGTGCCCAGGCCCAACAGTGGCCCCTCGGCCCCCGTGCCCCTGATGGGGCAGGCCGTGCTCCACCCCAGCTTCCCTGCTGCCCAGCTGTCACCCCTGCAGCCCGGACAGGCCCAGCCGCAGCCTCAGCACTTCCCGCAGGTGGGCACTTCCTGTGGGTGGGCACTTCCTGCAGGTGGACACTTCCCACGGGTGGGCACTTCCTGCAGGTGGGCACTTCCTGCAGGTGGGCACTTCCTGCAGGTGGGCACTACCCATGGGTAGGCACTTCCCATGGGTGGGCATTTCCCGCAGGTGGGCACTTCCTGCAGGTGGGCACTTCCCATGGGTGGGCACTTCCTGCAGGTGGGCACTACCCATGGGTAGGCACTTCCCGTGGGTGGGCACTTCCTGCAGGTGGGCACTTCCCGTGGGTGGGCACTTCCTGCAGGTGGGCACTTCCCACGGGTGGGCACTTCCTGCAGGTGGGCACTACCCATGGGTAGGCACTTCCTGTGGGTGGGCATTTCCCGCAGGTGGGCACTTCCTACAGGTGGGTACTTCCCACGGGTGGGCACCTCCCACAGGTGGGCACTTGCTAGAGTTGGGCGTTTCCTGCAGGTGGGCACTTCCTGCAGGTGGACACTTCCTGTAGGTGGGCACTTCCTGTAGGTGGGCAGCCCCAACACGTGGCCAACAGGGTTGAATGCACCTGGGGCTCAAGAGACGAGGACCCAGAGCACAGACCTGCCAGCCCTTTCTCCTGGCACCCAGGACTGTAGGCCCTGTTTGGAAATCGGTCTCAGCAGTTGCATGTTCGGCTGTTTGTAATGCTCCAAGTTATCAAGTCTGTGTCTGTCCAGTATGAGAAACTGAGAAACAGCCATTGCGCCTCCAATGCTTCATTTTTGAATCATTTTGATTTCGGCATCCCAGAATAGGCATCGATTGCCATATTTGTTAGCAAATGCATATCCTTCAGACAATTAAATCCACATCCTATTAAGAGATGCATCCCGAGTAAATGCCAGGGTGGTCGGTGGAGCTGTGGTTTTCCAGGAGAACGTGGACCGTGTCCACACGTGGGCATCTCCAACCACCCGCCAGTAGAAGGTTGCTGGGGAAGGAGGCGGAGGTTGTGGCAGGCCAGGGCAGGGCCTTCCCCGCAGATATGCGGGCATCCTTCCTGTCCAGTCCCACCCCTGCCCTCTCCCCTCCCGCCTCCCGCGGGGCTTGGCACAGCTTCCCCACCACCATCAGAGGCACTCAAGGCCGTGCGGGAACTGAGACATTTCCAGGACAGTGGGGAAAGTCACCCTTGAGGTCTGGAGTGGGATCTCCATCCCAACTGCGCTCATCTTGGCTTCCTTTCCGACCCCCTAGAATGGCGGGATCCACACAGCTACGCTGCCCCTGATATATGGCTGAGGTGTGGTGAAGCGAGAAGGCAGGAACTGGGGTCGGGTTGGGCGCGCCTCTCCTTTCCCGCCAGGGTCCGACAGCACCTGTGGGGGCTCCACGGGAAGGGCTGCACGTGTCTGAGGGCTGGGAGTCTCTCTGGGGCTCAGGGCCTCCTGCGGGGGAGTCCCCAGGAGGGCCAGAGCGGCTGGCTCCGCTTACTGTGGCTGAGTCTTCCTAGGAAGGGGGACAGCAGGGGGAGGACTTGGGTCTCCAGACAGAGAAAGCCTGAAGTGAGGTGAGGCTGCCTGGGTTAGCTGGGGGAGGGGGCAGGGCGGCAGGGCTGTTCTGGGAAGTGTGTCGTGAGGGTGAGATCTGGCTGACCACCTAACCAGGATGTCCCCAGCAGCTGCCGGGGATGGTGGGATTCTGAGACAGGAGAGGGAAGGAAGCGCTCTGCATCTCCGCCACCCGCTTCTGGTCCTGGGCTGCAAGGCCCCAAGCCAGCCCCCTACAGAGAGGGGCCAGAGCAGGGGCAGGCGCATTCCCACCGCTCACCCAGCCCATGGGGCCTTTCCACATCCTCCCCTCCGAGGTGCATCCGAGGTCCCGCCAACCAGGGCCACCCACCTGCCCCACCAGCCACCGAGCAGGACGGCGGGCAGCCCCGTGGCACTTGCTCTCTCCTTGTCTCTGCAGGTGCCAGCGGCAGCCTCCCTGCACGGCGAGCCCCAGGATGCCTTGCTCCTCTCCACCTACCCGCAGGCGCCCGGGAGCTACCCAGCGCCACCCTCCCGCCCGGCCCGGAGGCTCAGCGGCCTGTCCGAAGCCTCGGGCCCCCAGCAGACCCCCCGGTAGTGACCTGGCACCTCGGTCTGCTCAGGATCAGCTTTAAGTGCTGCCCGCCCAGGCCTGGCAGCGGGGGAGTTGGAAGAGGGGCTGAAGGCTTCTGTGCAGATGCGGAGGCCCAGGCGGCAGACAGCACCATGCCCCACCGGGAGTCCGGCCCGGGCACACTCCAGCCAGACCCGGGGCCGTGGGGCCTGCACCTCCAACAGTACCTGGCGGCTGCGGCCCACGGCCCTCTTTCCTTTGCATTCTAGAAGCTCTGGATCAGAGCCCTGCGGAATGGGGAGAGAAAGGTTCTTTCCCATCATTTTTCAGTGGCCGTCCTTGTCATTTGCACAGCTGCTCAGAGGAGAAAATGTCGGCACTTTGCTTAGAAAGAGAAAGTTCTCGTGACTTCCTGGGGAGCCCAGCCAGCAAGTCGGAGAGCAGAGCTGAGTGGTCCTGAGCCCGACTGCAGACCCCCCCCACCCCACCTGCACCCTGACTCGATGCCCTTCTGGGGGACTTTGTTTCCCCTAAACACTGGACTGTTTCCTGTTGCTGTCACTGATTGTGACGCAGAACGGAGAAATCAGCAAAGCACCATCGTGGTGCTGATGTCTCGGTCAGCCGAGAGCACTAAGGCTCTGAGGGGAGGGGGAGATGCCACGGGTGCCAGAACCGCCTGGCCCAGGGACCCGAGGGTCCTGCCTCCCCTCAGGGTCCCAGGGTCGGAGGAGGAGTTTCCCTTTTGAAATGCACTTTGCTTTTTTTGTATGTTTTGTTATGTTGAGATGTTTCTAAAGAAGAGATTTTATGTAATTCTAAGACAAAGTGGAGTGAATTGTACAGTCGTTGTAATAATGACCTATTTCTATATAAAATAAAATTGTATGCATTATGTGTAAATTATTTTGTATCTGAGACACCGCTTTCTTTCCCAAATATAAAAGTTTGAAGGTTTTCTTGTGTTTTTCTGTGAATGGACATTTTATAATAAATTAACAAGTTTGTACAATTTCCTCCGGGTGCATTTTCTGGCCCTTGAATCTGCATGCATATCTGTTTTGTCTGTGAAGTTTTTTTTTTTATTTTAAGGCATTTCTATGGATAATCAAATATATTAAAAGAGGAGAAAAGTAAGCAAAAATGAACGGAGTGTGAAAAGTAGGTAAAGGAATATACATGACAACATGTCAGTATTTATATTGCAAATGGATAGAGAGAGGAGAGCGAGAGAGAGAGAGAGAGAAAGAGAAAGAGAGAGAGATGTGCCTGCCATAGAGACAGTCAGGGGGTGGAGTGGGGGAACTGGGGACACTGATGCTGGGGAATGAGCACTGGTGGAGGGATGGGTGTTGGAACATTGTATGACTGAAGCCTAATCATGAACACCTTCGAATCGCAGCGATTCAATTAAAAAACCCGGGGAGGGGTGGGAATAAACCATTTAAACACTGAAAGTTTCTGGTAATACTTAACCTTATAGACCTGAGAGCTCAGGGAGGTACCCACGGCCTTCTCCACAGTGCGTTCATGGCCCCTAACTCCATCCACCTTTACATAAGCTCTGTGACATGCGCACGGCCTGTGGGTCTGAGTGGAGCGTGTCCATCCATGCATGGTGAGAGACAACCCGGCAGCCTCTAGCGGTTTCTGCCAGTGAGGCATCCCGTGCCACCCTCATGCCCACACATGTGTCCTTGGTGTAGAATCAACTGAGAATCACGGGTTGCTTGGCCTGAGCACTTTCGGGGGAGGGTTGGGAGGGACTAGGGGACACACCCAGCAATGCCCAGGGGTTACTGGTTTTGTGCTCAGAAGTTACTCCTGGTGGTGCTCAGAGGCTCCTGTGGGATGCCAGATCAGCCGCATGCAAGGCAAACGCCCTCCCCATTGGGCTACTCTCCGGCCCCTCAGCTAGGGTTCTTCCTGAGGGCCTTGAGCCAGGAGAACTCAGATCCTTTCCTTGGCCTACTTCTCTAGTTCTCCGCCTCTCCATTCTCCCCTAGCAAGTTGGGGGGTCTTCTCCCTCTTCTGTGACTGATATAAATACAGGTGTACCTTCACACAATCACACAATCACAAATCATCCTGTTATTCGTCGATTGCCTCGAGCAGGCCCCAGTAACGTCTCCTTCATCCTAGCCCTGAGATTATATTCAAGGCTCTTTAGGAGAGTGAGACCCATCAATGTTACTGGTATTTGGCATATCGGGTATGCCATGGGGAGTTTGCCAGACTCTGCCGTGTGTGTAATCCCATCAACAGGTGTACCTTATTTTTTAAAAATTTCCGTTATATCTCTTAGCCTTGCAAAATACCTCCTTTAATACCTGTGTTGATACCTGGCTAATAAACTCAAGGGCAGGGGTCCGGGTGCACTCTGAAACTCTTGCCTTGCCCGTGTGAGATTTGGTCTGTGGCTCTGTGAGAGTTTCATCCCAGGCACTAAAAAGGGAGAAGAAAAGAGGAGGCTGAGGGGCAGTACAGCAGACAGGATGCTTGTCGTATGTGAACCCGACCCGGGCTCGAGCCTCCAACCACCAAGGTGGACAAGAATAAGCGCAGTGCTCAGCTGAGTGTGACCAAAAACGAAAGAAAAAGAAAAGAAATCCAAAAAAGCGGTTAACTTTTACAACTAGAGGTAAGAAGGGTAAACAGCGAGGCTGGAAGCGGCGTACCTCAAATAACTACGGTATCACCGCATGGTCCTGCTCGTGCATCGGTGGTTCTGCCAAATCTAAAATAAAGTAACAAATGTTCATGGTCTTGCTTTTCCCGTAAGAATAATTCTGGAGGCATGAAAGGATGGATAATTTAGGTATTTGGCACTTGATCATTAACTAATGAGCATCTCCCTCCCTTAGAGTCTTCTTAGATCTGAAGTATATGTTGTTTGATATGTTTGGCCACATCTGGTCTTTTTTTTTTTTAATTTTTTTTTTATTAGCGAAACACCATGAGGTACAGTTGTAGATTTACAATTTTTTGTGCTTGGGTTCAATTATACAATGATCAGATACCCATCCCTCCACCAGTGCCCATTTTCCACCACCATGGATAATATCCCTCCCACCCCCATCCCCCCATCCCCCCTGTCTCTGTGGCAGGGCAATCCCCTGTGTTCTCTCTCTCCTTTTGGGTGTTGTGGTCTGCAAAAGAGGCATTGAGTGGCAAACATGTTCAGTCCATAGTCTACTTTCGACATGCATCTCCCCTCCTGGGAGGATCCTCCAAACATCCTTTATTTGGTGCTCCCTTCTCTATCTGAACTGCCCTTTCCTCTAGGATACCCGGCTGGCCTCTAAGTTATGGAGTAATCCTCCTGGTGCTGATCTCAGCTATTCTTGGGTATTAATCTCTTACTTTGTTACTTTATATCCCCCAGGTGAATGCAATCTTTCTACGTCTATCCCTCTCTTTCTGACTCATTTCGCTTAGCATACATCCGGTCTTTTTAAGGGTGTTGTCGGCTTATAACATCCCCTTCCAAGCTCTGCCATCGAGCCTGTATTTACTCCAACCATTCAGACGTGTCTCTTACAGAGAGCAGGACTCTGGGTGCTGACTTCTGCTTCACTGGGTCCTTCTCTTGGCTGGGGGGTTCAGCTCATTGGCTGCGACCTTGTGCTGGGGAACTCCAAGGGCCGTGTGGACTGAGGGTCCCACCCGGGCTGGGTCTGCGAAGGCCCCAGCCGCTGTCGTCCCCCTCCCCAGGCCAAGGTGGCCAAGTTAGCAAGCCTGAGCACTGCAGAACCTCCGCCAGAGGTGTTCATTTCCTCCAGGGGGTGGGCGGTGGGGTTCCTGGGCCCGTGTGGGGACAGAAAAGGCCAGCGGGGAGCCGGCCAGAACAAGGAGTGACCGACCAGCCCCTTGAGCCCCGCTCCCGAGCTCTGCTGCACCGAATCGGGCACGAGGCCTGGGCCTGGGCTCTGCAGTCCCCGCGGCTGCCCGGGCTGCAGTGCTCCTGCCAGGCCCAGAGCCACCCAGACAGGCCAAGGGGTCCTGCGCGGACCCCTGGCCCCGGACGCCTGGGCCTTGCAGCAGGGCGGGGAGGGCCAGGAGGGGCGGGGAGGGCCGGACGGGGAGGGACGCGAGGCCGGACAGGGCGGGCAGGGCCGGGGCGGGCGGGCAGCCGAGGCTCCACCCCTGGGCGCGCGCGCCTGGCCCGGCCCTGCCCAGCGTCTGCGCGCGGGGCCGCGGGGAGGAGCGCGGGCCGGGGCGGTTCGGTTCGGGCCTGGCCCAGCGCGTTCGGGCCGCCGGGTCGGGCCCTGCAGGCCGCGGGGCCAGGCCCGGGCGCCGAGGGGTCAGCGGGGCGCGGGCGGCTGGGCACCAAGGGGACACGTGGCCTGCGGCGGTGTCCGCCTGGTGGTGCCCGGGCCTGCTGGGTGCCCACGTGCTGGTGCCCCGGACGCCCAGATGGGTGCCCGCCCGCCGGGTGCCCGCCTGCTGGTGCCCCGGACGCCCAGATGGGTGCCCGCCCGCCGGGTGCCCGCCTGCTGGTGCCCCGGACGCCCAGATGGGTGCCCGCCCGCCGGGTGCCCGCCTGCTGGTGCCCTGGCCGCCCAGATGCCCGCCCGCTGGGGGGACCCTGGCCCGGGACGGAGCTGGACCGGGAGGCGCAGAGACCCCCGGGCACGTGGGGGCTGGACCCAGCCCGGGTAAGTGACCTCGGACCCTGACCTGAGACTCAGGCCCTGGCGGTGACCCGGGGAGGGCTGTTCCCGCCAAGTCAGCCCTTTGGGTGACCTGGTCACTGTCCCCTGGTCACTGCCCCCGCACCTTGGAGTCATTTTTCATTTCTGTGTCTAAGCGCAAGAATAGAGGAAATTGCGCTTTTTCCCGTCTTTGGGTTGCAGAGGAAAGAGAATTTCCCTCCTTTTCCTTTTGTTGGTCACCCGTGTTTGCTGGTATATTATTGAACACTCGCTCTCACCCTTTGGCTTCCAAGTTCTGGTGTGATGTGCAGAGAGCTCAGAGTCTGTTCTGGAAGCTTCCAGGGGTCTCCATAGGTACCATCGACTACGGGTACTTCAACAATAAGCACTGCGGTGTTTCTCTACACAAGAGGAGACTGGGGTGGCTCTGTGTGAGGGGTGCAGCCTGCAGCGCGGGCCAGGGAGGCACCACGTTCTCCCACCGGCTGACGAAATACACTTTTATTGTTTCTTCCAGTAGCTAAAGGGGCTGACTTCGTAAAGAACCCTGTGGTCAGTCAAGGTAAGTTGGTTTTGGCCATTAGTGTGCTTTGGGGGCGGGGGGCAGGGGAGGCCGTTACCCCTGGCCATGCTCATGGGGGCCCTTCTTTTTTTTTTCTCACCATAAACATTTTATTTTTAAGAATGTATCATAAAATGAATGAAATTGTAAAATAGATGTTTTATATATAATTCTAGAATATCCATAATAATCAGAATAGTTTCTCACGACGGCTCGATGCATCTCACTTCTGTATATCTTGAAATTGAGTGTTCCTCGTAACAGGTGACAGAGGGCAACGTACTATTTAAGCCCATTCTCCCCACCTGCCTGTTCCAGACTCACGAAGTTCCCAGTTCTAGTCTCACACTGCCCCTCCTTCCCGTCTCCTTCTGTCTCTCCCGTTCATCTCTCTGCTGGTCTCTCCATGCTCCATCTCGCCCCCCTCCCATCTCTCTCTAGTCTCTCCCAACCTTGGAGGTAGTAGCCACACCCATTCAGTAGCACAATTAACATCTGAAAGCCCTTCCTCAGCTCAAGCTCAAGGGAAAAATAGCTCTTAGGGATGTTTGTCCTCTCCTTAGTCCAACATCTTAATTAACATCTTAATTCTACTTCTTAACATTACTTACTTTGTATGGACACAGATACATTCAGCTTGTAGGGCGCCTCTCCTGGCGACATCTTTCTATAGATCTCAGACTACAGTGCTCAGACCCAGATGCATCTTTCCTAACCCTAGCAGGGTCCTAATTCAGTTGTTACTTTTTCGATCGAGACAGAATCAGGGGTTCCTTCTGGCTCTGCTCTCTGAAGATGATCACAGACCATGAGGGATGCCGGGATGGACCCTGGGTTGGCCACGTGCAAGGCTAGCATGGTGCCCCCGGTGCCATCCGTCTCTCCGCCTCTCTCTTGCTCTTGCTTTGAGGGCTAGAAGGGGGCAGCTGGGCCCCAGCCCGCAGTGCTGGTGGGAGACAGAGGTGCCCAGCCACTGGGACTGCTCCTTAGCCCCCCGGAGGAGGGTCCGTTTGGGGTCACTGTAGCATCACTGAGGCCCTGGGTCCGCAGCTCGTGGCACAGGTGCTCCAGTCCAGCGACTGAACTTCCTTTTCCTTCTTCGAAGTGTGAATCACGAGTGCCGGTGAGCAGGAGCAGCAGAGCCTCGTCTCTGGAAGCCCGTCCCTAAGACACTAGCGCCGGTACGTAGAAAAAGTTTACTCGAACAAAAAAGGCTCAAGGAAAAGAGCTGAAGAGTTTTTCGAGGTCCGTGAGGTTGCTGGCGTGATGGTAGAGCGGGGGTGGAGAGGGCAGGCATGTGGGGCGACGGGCTGTGACTGCGAGCACACTGACAGCGACCACCCCCCCCTGCAAGGCTTCTTTGCTGAGCCCCGGCCCTCCTGGCCCATGGGCCTTGCATGTCCGTGGCGGGCACAGCCCCGCGTGAGGGTGTTGGGGGAGAGGCCCTGAGGTCGCCGAGGAATGATGACAATAAAAGGCCGAATTGCAGTGTCTCCCTGGCAGTTGGCTCTCTGGGTGCACGATGACAAAACCCCCCGAAGCGAACCCAGTCTGACCTTGGCACCGTCAGGGCCCAGCTCCGGGATGCCCACGCACTACCGGGCTCCTGAAGGGACACTCAGCGCCCGAGAAGGCCACATCCCACCCGGGACCCTAAGGCACCCACACCACCGGGGCCTGGCCCTGCCCCCTCCCCACGCAGTCGCAGCCGGGCGGAGATCACTGCGGGTGGGCCCTAGGACAAGGACAGTGTTGAAGAGCGGGTTTGCTCTGATGTGGATTGCCCGGTTGTAGCCAAAATATTCTGAAAGAAGGCTTTTTAAAAAATGTCCTTATTTTAAGGACCTTTGTAGCGGTGCCCTGGAGCCACACGGGCCTCACTCAGCTCTCGGGGGCACCGGCCCAGAGCCGCAGGCAGCCCGGCCCTCGCCTTTGCGACCCGTGGAAATCCGCCTTCTACGGGGAAGTGGAGGCCCATGTCGGAGTCGGTATCTGCAGCCTCGCGAGGACCCTGCTTGGAGGTTGACCTTGCATGGGACGTTGGCGGGAACCAAGACCAACGCGGTGAGGATTCTCGAGGGGCCTCTTGCACTTTTCCCATCTACAGTGTCTTGTGCAGAAACACCCGAATACACCCAGCTCTGAGTCTGCAGAGCCAGCCGTGCGTGTTGAATGCTGTCCGTTCTCTGGAGAAGTACAGTGCATTCATTTAAAGATTACCTTAAAAGCTAGGCCGTTCGGGGACGAGTTGTAGCTCGTGTCCTGCAGGTTGCTGGGGCACCAGGGCTCCCTGGGGCAGTTCGACGGTCACTGGCCACTTGAGGGCCAGTAGGGGAACAATGGCTGGAGGTGATGGGGACAGGTGCGGAGCCCCATCCCACACCCGGGGGCCGTGTCTTAGAGGGTGTAAGAATCTTAATGAAGATGTCAGAAGCTCTTGCCTTATAGTATTATTTAAAAAAAAAAAAAATAACAAGATACCATTAAGCTTACTCAAAATCCCACTTAAAATAGGGAAATCGTAACCCAGTGCCACGCCAGGATTTTAAGGACAGGTCTTCTGTGCCAGTAGGCATCTGCAGACGGGCCCCAGTCCTGAGAGATGCCACTTCCCAGGAGTTGTTCAGGTCACCTCCAGAGATTGGAAATTGTCTTTTAAGCCCCCGCTACTTACGTATCTTTTCTCTACCCAGTCACTTGGCGATCAGTGCCTTCTGCTGGGTTTTAAAGCCCCAAGTTAGAACTTGAAAAATCCAGAGAATTCAAGGGTATTTTTTTTAAACAGCTAAATCGAACTTATCTGCTTAAATTAAATGCTGTTTGCACGTGTTTGATCCTGAACTAGTTCCACATCAGGTCAGCAGAGGGCCAGAGACATAGTACAGCGGGCAGGGCACTTGCCTGGCCAGAGGCTGACCTAGTTCTGTCCCCAACATCCCCGTGTTGTTCCCCACCCCCGCAGCACTGCTGGGTGTGACCCAAAATGATTTAAAAATCACAAATTTGCTCCTTTCAAGTCTGTTCAATAAAGTGCCTTCAGTTGTTAGAAATGTCTCAGCCTCTTTCTTTTGAAAATGTTCTCTTTTATTCAGCAGTAACTAATTCTAAATGGGGTTTATGCTAATTCATGTCATTTAACTAAGAATCCAGGCTACACTTACAGCCAGACCTGACCTGGGCCTAGTCAGAAACCAGAAGGAAGCGACTAGAGCTCCCGCCAGCACTGCCTGGTGTGGCCGAGCAGAACATCCCAGCCCGACAGTCTGGACTGGGTCCCTGTACTCTAAGAATGGAATCAGAATGTAATTCCTGCTCAACAGGTCACTGTCACTGTCCTCCCGTTGTTCATCGATTTGCTCGAGCGGGCCCAGTAATGTCTCCATTGTGACACTTGTTACTGTGTTTGGCATATCAAATACATCACGGGGAGCTTGCCAGGCTTTGCCGTGCGGGCGAGATAGTCCGATTCCTTTGCCCCTCTCGGAGAGCCTGGCAAGCTACCCATGACGTATTCGATATGCCAAACACAGTAACAAGTCTCACAATGGAGACGTTACTGGGCCCGCTCGAGCTAATCGATGAACAATGGGAGGACAGTGCAGCGCTGTATTAGACATATACATATATGTGTAGATATATATGTGCCTGTTTTTGGACTTTGGTATTTCATGCTCCTTCCACCATGGTCCCGTGTACACACACACACACACACACGGAGAAATATTTTATCAAAGTTTGGTCACTGGCCAATTATGTCTGATTTATTTGGGACACTCCTTTGTTTTCTTTTGAGGTCTCACCAGTAGTGCTCAGGTGTCACTCCCAGCTCAGTGCTTGAGGGTCACGTCAGGTCCGAGGGATCAATTCTGGGCTTCCCGAATGCAAAACATGTCCTCTTGCCCAACAAGCTATCTTTCTGGCTCCTGAGAAACTCATTTCAAACACAAAATAGAGAATTTTTTTTTTTTTTTTTTTTTTTGCTGTTTGGGTCACACCCGGCGATGCTCAGGGGTCACTCCAGGCTCTGCACTCAGGAATGACTCCTGGTGGTGCTTGGGGGACCATATGGAATGCAGGGGGTTCAATCCAGGTTGGCTGCGTGCAAGGAAAATGCCCTACAGCGTGCTATCGCTCTGGCCCTCAAGATTGTCATCTTAATGGCCCAGGTGAGAATGATAAGAAGGCGACTTTAAGATGGCATGTTCTGCGTGAATTCTTCAGCCTGGAAAGAATCTGGGCCTGGACCACATCTTCCAGGCCCAGATTCTGGTGGGACTGTCCCTGAAATCTGTTCTAGCCATTCTGACCCTGCTTTTTATCTCTAAGGGAAAAAAAAAGCTTACTTTGTTATACTATATTCTTTCTCTCATCCTCTAAAAATCATACTCGAGAAGTTTCTCAATATGAAATTAATTTTTTCAAGTAAGAGACCATCAGATAACAGCTCATTTTTTTTAAAGGAAACTTTATTTACTGTAAGGCACTGTGCTGTCCCTGGTTGAGAACCAGCCCCCTGAGCTCCTTCCCTCTGGGCAGGCCCGGCAGACAGGGCAGGGTGTGGGCACTACAGCTCCTGTCCACATTACTGACCTTCTTCCAAATAACTGTCCTTAGGCTATTAACAGAACTAAAGACTGCGTGGAGGACATAAAACCCAGAAAACTATCCCAGCTATTACAGATCAAAAAGGACCTGGAGGTTTTCATGTCTGAATAAAAGACATGCATTTTTTTCCCTGCCACGTGGTTCCCTGTAACCCGATGACTGCTAGAAGGTTAGAGCTTGAGAATATTAGGTGAGGGCCCAAGGCTCAGGCTTGGGTCTGTCCCCTGACAGTGGGAAGACCTGGTCTCACTCGGGGCAGGACAGCAGTTCTTGAGAACGTCTTCATCGACAGAAACGTAGGAAGGCATGGCTTGTCTTACACAAGCTCGTGAGTTCTTTGCTCATGAGTGCCAGTGACTTTGTCTACGTTCATGCAGTAACTCTGGGAGGGTCATTTCCCTAGCGGGTAGGTTTTCCATAAAACACCACAGAAACATTTCCCAGGCTCTCTTTCCTAAAGGAGAAATCCAGTGAAGCCACTTTGCTTTAAGTAGACGAAGTGTATGTATTAGAGCAAGCGAACAACTCGGGGTTATCTACAAGGTAAACCACAGTCCGGCCGAGCGATGGGCAGGGGGTGGGGTCACTTGGACAGTTTGGTCTCCGAAGGGGTTTCTCCCGTGTCCAGTGTCTTGAGCAGCCGGAACAGGCCAGCCGCTTCCCGTATCCTGCTGAACTCGATGCAGAAGGCCTGCACTTCTATGAACAAGTCCTGTACATTGATGATCTTGTTGCGGATCAGGGACTGGAGGAACACGCACACGAGGCGCACCAAGCGGTTCTGGAAATGAAGGGCAGAGCTCAGCGTCACGTTCGCTTGGGGGATCTTTTTTTTTTCCTTTTTTATAATTTTATTTACTGAATCGCCGTGAAAGAAGTTACAAAGCTTTCAGGTGTAAGTCTTTGTCGTACAATGAAACACCCGTCCCTTCACCAGTGCCCATTTTCCACCACCAAAATCCCCAGTATACCCCCATCTCACACCCCCCTTTCCCCCCCCCCATCGCTTGGCGAACCTTCTCCTGCTTACCTGCATATATTTATCCTTGATCTGCTCACAGGTAGAGATGCAGTTCGATATGTACAAGTGGATAAACTCAGGAGGTAGATCAACAGCCGTGGTGAGCCTGTCGAATAGAGAAGAAAGGGCCCGTCCCCCAGTCACCCCGTAAAGAGATGCAGACCTAAGGGCTGCCTCACTTGGCGATAAATGATCTTTCCCTTTCATTCTGCACGCCTGTCCTCGCTCTGCTGACCTCCTCTCCTGCCAGCAGAGTCTGAAGGGTGAGCTCGGACTGGCATGTCCCGAAAGGGTGACAACAGTCGGGCTGCCTGGCGCCCCGAGGAGAGGCTGCCCACCTAAGCCTAGATCAGCAGCACTGCAGGAAACCTGGACAGCAAGCAGTGGGTGGCCACTGAATCCTGACCTCACGTGTAAGTGATGCAGGAAGATGGACATGCAAGTGTGTGTGAGGGGGTGGGGGGCGCCTCCGCTGACATTCCCGGAACCCTCCCAGCTCCCGAGGCCCTTTCTCGTGGCATCGCTGTTCCGGCAGAAAAGTTACGTGTGTCTCTTAGGGGAAAGACTGCACCGACGCCCAGGGCAGTAAAGCCCAGCAGTTCCATTCGCCCTGTTCACGTCAACGGAAAGGCCGAAAGGATCATGTCGAGCTTGGTGCTGGCCAACGCAAAGCTGAGAGCGACTGGGCATCGCCGCATGCACCCCACAGGCTCTGGACTCAGACAGTAGACTGTCAGCGGCTCCGGAACCACCCGAGGTGTGGCAGGAGGCAAGGGGTGAGGCACTGCTACAGGGTTCGGGTGGCTGCCCCGCACCCTAATGACCCAGACTCCTATTTTCTGTCAGCTTGATGCGGAAAGCTGCCCAAGCCAACCTAGGAGTTCGTTTACCGTCGCCCTCTACACCAAGGGAATTTTGCCTACAAAACTTGGAGGTTCAAAGGGGCTAATGTTCGGGTGCACGATCACCAGATGGTTATTCAGATGTGGAGTGACTCTCTAAAATGGCCGTTTGAAACACAGAGAGGAGCACGTCTGAGCCCTACACTCGGAGCCCGCGCTGGCTGGGAGTGAGATTCCACACAGCCGAGGCGCAGGTGAGGCGCGTCCAGATGCTTACCTGTTCACGACTTCCATGGAATGCAGGGACATATCCATATTGACCAGGACCGAAAAGTACTCCGTGATCTGGCTGGACTGCATTAACTTCAGCAGCATTTCTATGGCGACCAGAGGGTTGTTCTCCACCAGATCGGGAAGTTTGGCGGGAGTGAGGCCAATATGATAAACAAGCTTGGGATCCTTTTCCAGCTCGCCCAGGAGCTAACAATAGTAGAATTAAAAAAAAAAATAGTCAAACTGGAAAGTCTCATTCCTGCATATAAAGGTGATCAGGTCTGCTCAGTTCCCAGCACCAAGACCCCTCTGCCTCCAGGTGCAGCCCTGGGGGCCCCAGGCACCCCACGGCCAGAGCAGCACCTATTCTTCTTCTTTTTTTTTTTAATTAGTGAAACACCATGAGGTACAGTTGTAGACTTACACATTTTTGTGCTTGGGTTTCAATTATACAATGATCGAGTACCCATCCCTCCACCAGTGCCCACTTCCCACCACCACGGATCCCAGTATCCCTCCTACCCCCATCCCCCCCATCCCACCCTGCCTCTGTGGCAGGGCATTCCCTTTTGTTCTCTCTCTCCTTTTGGGTGCTGTGGTTTGCAAAAGAGGCATTGAGTGGCAATCATGTTCGGTCTATAGTCTACTTTCTTCAGCATGCTTCTCCCACCCTGGGAGGGTCCTCCCAACACCCTTTATTTGGTGCTCCCTTCTCTATCTGAGCTGCCTTTTCCCCAGCATGTGTGGTTGGCCTCCAAGCCATGGAGTGAAACTCCTGGCGGCACCTACACTTGGGCCCTCCAGGGAGCTGCCAGCTCTGGGGAAAGCCCAGGACAATACTTGGGAGGCCTCCACACCTGCAAAACGATGCAGAAACCATGACGGTCCTATTTTTTGACTTACATTACATTACAAATGGAAATACCTCTCAGATCATTTCTAAGTAGAGCGAGTCTTCCTGCACGTGATCACCTGATACTACAGAGACACAGTCTTTATGGGGTGCAATATCTGGTCCCCCAGACCTCTGCAGGATTGTTTCCATTGGTTACAGCCATAAATCTTAACTACCAACTAATCCCCGAAAAGTACAAAGCAGGTAATTGGGGACTGCGGAAACAGCAGCCCCGGCCAGCCTGGGGAAAGTGGGAACAGAGACAAAGGCACAGGGGCCAGGCTGCGCCCTTCCCTCCTCCACTGGCCTTGCACCATCACGCACGCCCTGGCCGGGTAGAGTGGGGCGGCCTGACCCCTTTACATCCGAGGACGTATCTGAGGTGGGTTGGGCCCCTTTACATCCGTGGCTGTAAAGTTGCGAATCACTCTGTCGAGCAAAGGGAGCCGGACGTGGCTTTGATTGCTTGATTCTGGTGTCAAGCAACTTCTGGCGTCAGGCCGGGGTGGAGATGGCCATCTCCTGCCAGCTTCCAAGTACACAGGTGCATAAGTCACCCACCAGAAACCCACCGAGTGCATCTGCCTCCCAGGGTCCCAGCGGGCCTGCAGGGGCTGTCTTGGCTCTAATCCACCCCGAGCAGCTGTGTGACGGGCTCGTCTGCCCCACTGTGACGGCCAAGCGAGCACACAGCAGGGGCATTCCCAAAGTGAGGCCCACGCTGCCCGCTCCCAGAGCCAAACTGACGCAACAAGAACCAACGTTCTGAGCCATCGGAACAGGGGCAGAGCAAAGCTCTATAAGCCTGCCCGCACCGCCCAGACTGCTGATCCTGGCTGGCCCTGCCTCTGGGCCTCTGTCACACTGCGGAAAGAATCAAGCTAGGCTCACAAGTAGATCTCGGAAGAGAGCAACAAGCCGCAGAGGACACGACCAGTTCGACTACCCAGTTAAAAACTCAAACTTGAGCTGTGTCACCCTATTTACAATTTTAGAATTCCTAGAGCGACATCTCATACTTTACACCACTGATATACCAGGAGTAGCACACCACACTGGATGGGATGTAAAGCAGAAGGCAGTCGATCTCAATTTAAAAAAATACACACACGCACAAGCACACAAGACTCAACTTGTAACAGCAGTTAGTAATCCCTTATAGGCTGAGATACAACGATCTTCACACTCTTCTTTTTTTCTTACACACTCTCTTCTAAGGAAACTTTTTTGATCATTTTTAGTGAATTATTCATAACACGCGACACAAAATAAATTATTTAGGGGCTGCTATTGGGGCAGGCTTGGGCAGTGTTTGGGAAAATTGGAACAGTGGTAGTGGGAAGGTGCAATAGTGGTGAAACTGGTGTTGGGATATTGTGAACACCACTATAAAAGTAAAATCCTAAGCAATGTTTACAATCAGTACCTGCGTTTGCTGAGGAGACGACAAAGGGCTTTTGAACGCCTTGGCCATTATCCGCTTGATCTCTACGCCAGTGCTGTTCTTGATACACATGGACTTGTCCCACTGGATCCCGTGGTCCGGCTCGGCGGGATTCAGCCACGCCAGCTCGTCCTCACAGACGTGGAGCGGAGGCGGCGGGCGAATGAACTCTGGCCGGAAGTGGCCTGGAGAGAAGAAGAGTATTTGGCTGGCGCAGCTAACAGGCTGATGCCAGACACGGCCGCGCACTTCCCGCACACCCTTCCGTGAGGACATCCCAGGACTGCCACACGATCACGAGTTCAATGACAAAACACTCAGGCCACCACTCAGGCCATGAACAAGAAAAAGCAACTGGCCTAACAGCATTCCAGAACCCAAATCGACTGATTTTTGGAGAGTGGTGACGAGTGTCTTACTGACCCCCATACTCAGTCAAGCACGACATCGCTCAGCTGCAAAGGGCCACCCAGGGCAGCCTGCCTTGGGCTGGGAGAGCTCGCCCCACCCCTCGTCACCAGGGGCACCCTCAGCAGTCCCTAGAGACTGTCCTGGTTTTACCTGACTCTTCTAGCCTTCAAGTGACAAAGTACATGGAGAAACATCGGGGGAGATGTGCACAGGCTGTGCTGACATCCCAAGTAAGCCCGGAGACTTGTGAATCCCTCACTTCACAAGTGGCACATTCATTTATTAAAACGGCCAAAGTACGATAGAAGACAAAATCAAGTTAAAACCTCCACTATTTCATAGATCGACATTAGACTACTTCCAAGTTATAGCTGAAGAAATAAATGCTGGGGCTAGAGTGATAGCACAGCGGCGTGGCCGACCTGGGTTCAATTCCCAGCATCCGGTATGGTCCCCCAAGCACCGCCAGGAGTAATTCCTGAGTGCAGAGCCAGGAGTAACCCGCTTATTGCAGGGTATGACCCCTACCCTTCCCCCCCAAAAAAAATGCTAGCTGGAATTTCTACTGAGTAAATTTTCAAGGCTTATTCCGTGTATAAATGCTGGTCCTGCAGCACTTAATGACACTGAGCCTATCGAAAACAGCTGCTTCAACGACGTCTCCTCTACCACGGAACTCAAACATGCATCTGACGTCTCTCCAGACCACACCTGGAGCTACTTAGCGCATTCCCGTACAGTGGGGATGCTTCTCACAAGCCCTTCTATGCAGGCAAGCTGCTGTGGACTGTGCAGTACGCCTGTGGCTAGCTGAGTCGCCCAGCATCAGAGCCCGATGTCCAGGGCCAGAGTGACGTCAGCCCATGGGACACTCCAGAGCAGCGTCTCAGCCTGCCCCAGCCCTGCAACCTTCCCAAGGCCCCAGTGTCTGGCAGCCCCTATTGGCGTGCGATCTCCACTGCCTTTTCATGCAGTGTCACCAGGCCTGCGGGTGAGAGGGTCCTATGAAGGGGGCGTGTCCTCATCATGCCTGTACCCTGCTCAGACCCTACAGAGCAGAAAGAAGGAGTGAGACTCAGTTTCATACAGTACCTTTGAGCTAAAGAAAACCAAGGGCTCTAGATAAAACTTTCTATTGCTGGTGGCAATGACAGCGGTAGGGTGAAAACAAAAGGTAGTAAGTTAGAAAACAGGCACGTCAGTCAAGTTAGAGGCTGTGCACTCAGGAATGCTGATACTAGGTACAATTTTTAAATCCCTGTTTGTAACATTTTTAACACCAAAATCAAATTCATGGTTTTTTTTTTAAATCCCATTTCAGAATATCAAGCGTGAGGAATCCGAGTAGACATGACGAGGGGAGCAGGCGTGGCTGGACCTACTTACTCTCAATGGGCGGCTTGGGCCCGCTGACCAAGGCTTCCGTGATCTGCGAGGCCACCGAGCTGTCGAAGCCGGAGTCGGAGGAATCGGGGTCGGGGTCGCTGAGGATGCTGGGGAAGCTGGCCTTGCTCTGCGTGGGCAGCTCGGACTGGCGCTCTGGAAGAGACAGAGGAGCTTTGATGCTGTTCGGAGCCGCACCGGCGGGGCTCGAGCCTCTCTCCTGACTCCGTGTGCTCCGGACTCCTGGCTGACTCAGGCTGACCTGGGTAAGCGGCGGGCAAAGCAAACGCCCTCCAAGCTGGACTACTGCTCCGGCCCCAAGAGAAGCGTTTTCACATCGAAGGAAACAAACTGAAAGCTGAAAGGACAAAACGGGAACTGGGAAAGGCCATCGATTGTTTTCCGCGACTCCCATTAGTTCATCTGTATGAAAGAACCAAACCGAGGGGGAAAGGGCTAAGGACCGAAGTATTTTACATTAAGCAAAATGCAATAACCCAGAAACACTCGGAAACATGTTCACGCGCATAAGGAGCGGGGGAAAGCCAGTCCACTGTGAGGTGCAAATGACCAGAAAGGGACAGGCCTGCCGGCAGACGCCACGGGGACGGAAAGCACCTGGCACTGGAGCCGGGGAACCCCACCTCCTCCGCCGGCTCTGAGACCTCACACCCAGGCAGTTCCCGCGGGGCAGGCAGCTGCCTTCGGGGGCAGGTTCTGAGACCCCTCTGGGGGAGAGCCCCTCACTCGGGCCCCTCGGTCTGAGGCAGAGCAGCCGCTCCAGCCCAGCCGCTCCGGCACTTCCCGATCCTCATTCCCGTCATGGTACTGTTTGTGCCCAACGCGCTTTAAATCTTCCTCACTTTAAATTCACTTTGAATTACTCCTTTACAAGTGCTCCTCATCTACGAAGAGCCTTGTCGTAATTCCTGGCACTGCAAAACAGAAAAGAAAAACGCTCTCAGGCCGGCCCACGTCAGCACAAGGTGCAGTGGGGCCCGGATCTCATTTCCACTGAAGGGTGCTCGGGCCTTCCTCCTGACTCTGCACTTGGGGGTCGCTCCTGGGGGTGGGGGCAGGGGGGACACACCATGTGGAATCCAAGGGACGGAACCCAGCAGGCTGTGTACAAAGCAAGTGCCCTTCCTGCTGTACGGCTCCGATGCCGTCAAGTGTCACTTCCGGAAATAAGACTGGAAAGGCCTTTGTGTCTGTACCCAGCCTTCATACTGCTCTTGGCTAAAATAACGATCCCTTTCTTCCAACCAACTGCTTAAGGCCCCAATAAATACTGCCGATGTGTGTGCCTTTATCGTAAGTCTGAAGGTCCAAGGCTGACACATGCATCAAGGTGCTCGTCCTTTAACGTCCTTTCCCCGGGCACTGCCATGTGTGACTCCACCCCAGCCCCCACCCACAAAACTTTCGGTCTTACAATGTGCTCTCTGATTCCAAGTCACCACTTTTATGCTGCTGACACCCCAAAGTGCAAAAGTGAGGTTCAGAATGCCCCAAGGAAACAGCTTCCGTTTCCAGGCGCTCTACAGAGCAGTCAGAAGCAAGATGGACTAGGGGGCCGGCCACCATTCGCATCACTAACAGGGCATGGGCACTGCGCTTCTCTGTGTTCAGTCTGGGGGTCACCCAGGGCCATGCAGTGGAGGGCCTCCTCAGGCAAAGCACGTGCGTCCCAAGACATCAGCTCCGCTCAGACCTCACACAGAAGGCACCTCTGGGAACTTGCGCGGCACCAGGGCAGAGCCCAGCACTGCGCCAGTCACAGCCCCTGGACCTGCCTCCCTTCCCCGCAAGCCCTCACACAGGGGGCCGTCCCCCAGCTCAGGTCCACGGGGCCCCTGTTATTTTCTGCACCCTCAAAGAAAGTGTCAAAATAATGTAGGAGTAGAGGATAGAGGGCAGTCGACCTTTCTGAGGGGACGGTGTACTCAAATCTGCAGGAATGAGCACTGTGTAAGGGTCAAATGCACAGAAACAGAACCAGCAGACAGAAGGCCCAGGAGCACCCCTAGAGGTGCCCAGTGCTTTCCTTTTCTTTTTGAGCAGGGCAGGGGTACACCCGACTCTGCACTCAGGAGTCATTCCTTGTGGTGCTCAGGGGACTCTATGGGATGCCGGGGTACAAACCCAAGTCAGCCTCATGCAAGGAAAGTGCCTGGCACGTTGCACTATCACTCAGGCCCTACCAGATGGTTTTCTAAGGGTGCCAAAGGAACAGGTTTTGGCTATTCAAGGACCTTAGAGATTCTGTGTGAAGTGTGTGTGTGTAATTCCTACAAAACAAAACGTAGGGATTCTGATTAGAACCATCAAATCTTTATCACATGAACAAAGCTCACATTGGAAAATGTTCTTCATTGTGCCCCAGGAAATCAAGTACCTAGGAATCAGCTGAACTAAGGAAGGACCTGTACAAAGAAAACTACAAAACGCTACTTCAGGAAATAAACGAGGACACGAGGAAATGGAAAAATATCCCCTGTTCATGGATCGGGAGAATTAACATTGTCAAAATGGCAATACTTCCCAAAGCACTGTACAAATTCAATGCAATCCCTATAAGGATACCCACGACATTCTTCAAAGAAATGGAGCAAACACTCCTGAAATTCATATGAAACAATAAGCCCCTGGAATAGCTAAAGCAATTCTTGGGAAAAAGAAACTGGGAGGAATCAACCTCCCTCACTTCAAGCTCTACTACAAGGCAGTAATAATTAAAAGAGCATGGTACTGGAACAAAAGCAGAGCTGCAGACCAATGGAACAGAGTTGAATATACTGACATTTCCTCCCAAACATATAATCATCTAATCTTTGATAAGGGGGCAAGAAAAGTGAAATGGAGCAGGGAAAGTCTCTTCAATAAACTGTGCTGGCAAAATTGGACGGCTACATGCAAAAAAGTGGGCTCAGATCTCTGCCTAACACCATGTACAAAAGTAAGATCAAAATGGATTAAAGACCTCAACATCAGACCAGAAACCATAAGGTACATTGAAAATAAAGTTGGCAAAACCCTCCATGATATTGAAGCTAATGGTATCTTCAAAGATGTCACACCACTGGCCGAGCAAGTGAAAACAGAGATAGACAAATGGCACTTAAACTAAGAAGCTTCTGCACCTCAAAAGAAACAGTGACCAAAATACAAAGACAGTCTACAGAATGGGAAAGGATATTCGCCGAATACACATCCGACAAGGGGTTGATATCAAGGATATACAAGGTACTGGTTAAACTACACAAGAAGAAATCACCCAACGCCATCAAAAAATGGGGCGAGGAAACGAACAGAAACTTCCGCAAAGAAGAAATTCGAATGGCAAAAAAGCACATGAGAAAATGCTCCACATCATTAATCATCAGGGAGATGCAGATCAAAACCACAATGAGATACCATCTCACACCTCAGAGACTGGCCCACATCCACAAGAACAAAAGCAACAGGTGCTGGCGCGGATGTGGCGAGAAAGGGACCCTCCTTCACTGCTGGTGGGAATGCCGGCTGGTCCAACCCTTTTGGAAAACAGTATGGACTATTCTCAAAAAATTAGAATTTGAGCTCCCATTTGACCCAGCAATACCACTCCTGGGAATATATCCCAGAGAGGCAAAAATGTATAGTCGAAGTGACATCTGCACTTGTTTGTTCATTGCAGCACTCTTTACAATAGCCAGAAACTGGAAGAAACCTGAGTGCCCGAGAACAGATGACTGGTTAAAGAAACGTTGGTACATCTACACAATGGAGTACTATGTAGCTGTTAGAAAGGATGAGGTCATGAAATTTACATACAAGTGGTACAACATGGAAAGTATCATGCTAAGCGAAATGAGTCAGAAAGAGAGGGATAGACATAGAAAGATTGCATTCATCTGGGGGATATAAAGTAACAAAGTATGAGATTAATACCCAAGAATAGCTGAGATCAGCACCAGGAGGATTACTCCATAACTTAGAGGCCAGCCGGGTATCCTAGAGGAAAGGGCAGTTCAGATAGAGAAGGGAGCACCAAATAAAGGGTGTTTGGAGGATCCTCCCAGGAGGGGAGATGCATGTCGAAAGTGGACTATGGACTGAACATGTTTGCCACTCAATGCCTCTTTTGCAGACCACAGCACACAAAAGGAGAGAGAGAACACAAGGGATTGCCCTGCCACAGAGGCAGGGTGGGATTGGGGGGGGATGGGTGGGTGGGAGGCATACTGGGATCCGTGGTGGTGGGAAATGGGCGCTGGTGGAGGTATGGGTATTTGATCATTGTATAATTCAAACCCAAGCACAAAAATTTGTAAGTCTACAACTGTACCTCATGGTGTCTCACTAATAAAAATAAATAAAGTTCTAGTTACTAAAAAAATAAAAAAAGAAAAGAAAATGTTCTTCAGCAGACTAAACTTTTACCCAGCATTCTTTGGAAACTGGGCAGTTGAAACCCAGCAAGACCCCCGCACCCTCAGGGGGCAAGAGAAGCTCCGTTCCCCGCGGGTCAGCACCCGGCCGGCACAATCAGAGACTCTCCCTTGTTGCCCCAAAGAACACAGCCAACACTGACCCCGCAAACACCTCACCTGCCAGGGCCAGCTGAAGGCCGCTGATGTCCACAGCCTGGGCAGCGCCCCCCACGTCCATGAGTGCGATCTGCCGAGGGGTCTTTTTGAAGAGCTCCCTTGGTGGTGCCAGCATGAGCTGGGAGAGGAAGAACTTCTCCGGAGGAGTTATAGGAGGCAGAAACCCTGTGAAGGAGAACAGAAGTTTCCATGACAGCCGTTTTCAGGAACGACTCTGGCACAGTGCCTGCTGTCCTGTACCAGCCCACGTGGACAGCGTAACCAGGCCCCGGTCACGAAATGCCATCTGAAACTCTTTACCACTGACAACTCTGTTTTCGAACATATTCACAGCCAAGCCCCCAGGTCTGACCACACTCCAAGGTGGAGCCGCTGAGAGCGGCAGCCGTGTGCAGGGGACTCCCCTGTACCTGCTGCTGTGATGCTGTACCTCCCCCCCACCCCCCAAGCCAGGCTGCACTTGCTCCCTCAGCTCCCAGGCCCCACTCTAGCCCACCCAACATATCTCACACACACACACACCCGAGTGCCACCTCGTCTTTTATTTTCGTAAGGTCGCACACAGTAACCGGGTGCTGCGTATTCCAGCACCGACCCCATCATCATCACACCTGACAATTTTCCCAACCCCCTCCCGGGCCCTCAGTAATTCATTCTGTATTGCTTGTCATGAATAATCCTCTAAGAAAGGATAAAAAAGATTCCTTTGAAGAAAGGAATGGTTGTCAGCGGTTGCATCCTGGCCTGGAGCTACGGAGCGTCCTCGTGGAAGGGACCATCAACATGCTATCGCAGGCGGCCCCTTGTGAGCCACTACTTTCGTCAACGGATCCAAAAAAGATACTGTGTCTTAAACAGGGCGGCTGCCTTCTACCTTGCGTCCTATCCAACGTGCATCCTGTCCTGCTGGTGCATCAGAGGCAGAGAGCACAAGATGCTGCCTGGCCGCGAGTGTGGCCCCCGGCCCCCAAGAACCAAACCCCAAGTCGCCCCCCGCCCCCTGCTCTGACCCTGGCCGATCCCACCTGCCCACGCCCCACGCCCCTCCGCCCTGGTCCCCGATGCATTCTGCGCCCGGGGCGCCTCTGCGAGCCCCCGCGTGCCCCGCTGACCCCTGGCCGTGCCCCGCTGACCCCGGCTGACCCCCCCGGGGCCCCCGGTGTCGGCGGCTGACCCGAGAGCGGCGGCCGGTCGGGCGGCTGCGGCGGCGCGGGGCCGGGGCCGGGGCCGGGGCCGGGGCCCGGGCCGGGGCCCAGCAGGTGCGCGAAGCCCGCGGCGAAGGGGCTGGCGGCCAGCGGCTCGGTGCGGTACATCTCCCAGAGCAGGTAGAGCGCCGTGAGCCGCTGGGCCGCGCCGGGCAGCAGGTCGGGCTGCTGCAGCAGCAGCACCAGCGCCGAGCCCAGCCGGAAGTGCTCGGCCTTGCCGAAGTAGTGGTGGAAGGCGCTGGACAGGCCCTCGAAGGTGCTGCCGCCCGCCTCCTCCGACACGATGCTCAGCAGGCTCGCCAGGTCCTTGGAGCTCAGGCTCATGCTGCCGGGCCGGGGCGGGCGGGCGGGGCGGACGGCCGAGAGCGAGCGGACGCGCCGGGGAGGCCGGGGGCGGGGGCGGGGCGGAGGGGACGCGCCGGAGGGAGGGGCGGGCCGCGGGGGCACGCCGGGCCGGGGGGCGAGCCGAACCGCCCGCGGGCCGGAGAGCAGACGCGCCGGAGAGTGGACAGCGCCGGACAGCGGGCAGCGCCGGAGAGTGGACAGCGCCGGGAAGCTCGGAGAACGCGACGGCGCCGGAAAGCGCCGCCGAGCGCCGCGAAGAGCCGCGAAGAGCCGGAAAGCGCCGCCCAGCGCCGGAAAGCGCCGCCGCGCGACAGCGCCGGAGGGCGCCGGAAAGCGCCGCGGCGCGACAGCCCCGGGGAGCGCCGCCAATCGCCGCCAACCGCCGCCGGAAGTGGGCGGGCCCCGCGCGGGCTTCCGGCCGGCGCGCGCTTCCGGGGCGGGGCGGGGCGGGGCGGCTCTGCTCGGGGATGCGCAGTAGCGGCTGCTGGTGCGGCGCGCGCGGCCGAGAGAAATGGGCGGGGCCGGGGCGGGGCCGGGGCGGAGCGATAGTGCAGCGGGGAGGAGGTTGGCCTCGCTCGCGGGCAGCGCGGGTTCGATTCCCGGCGTCCCGTAGGGGGTCCCGCGCACCGCCAGGAGGGATTCCTGAGCATCGCCGGGCGTGATTCCCCCCCCCCCAAAAAAAGGGGAAGAAGCGGGGGAGGGGGCGTTGTGTCGGGCGGCGGGACCCCCCTGCTGCAGAGGCCCGGGGATTGCAGCCCGGCTCCCAACGTGTGTTTGCAAACTCGCAGATGTGGGTGCGGGTGTCGGCCAGTGGGGTCAGGCCAGAGAGGACAGAAGCATTGCCGCACGGAGTCCAGACCCGCGCGCAAGGCCTCGTCCGCCTCGGGGCTGCAAGGGTGGAGGTGGGCGCCCAGCCCCAGGCTCCTTCCTGGGCGCAGGGAAGCGCAGCCCGGGGCTGCAGGGACACTTGCCCGGCCGGGAGGATGCCGGAGCACAGCCCAGCACGGTCCCAAACCCCAAAAATCAAAAACCCAAACCAGATTTGTTTCCCTTTCTCGTCAAGCAGTGACAACAGACCCTCGGCCTTGGGGTAAAACTCAGATCACCACGCAGTGAACAGTTGGGGGTGGGGGAGGGAGGTGGAAGGGAGACCGGAGGTGACAGAGACAGTGGCAGGGGTCTTGGTCCTTCCCGGCTGGTGGGTGCACTGCCATAGAGGGACACTATTGCCAGCACTACCTACACTCCAGTCAAAATAAGTCTGCTGTCTGCTGCTGTCCTCCCGTTGCCCATCGATTTGCTCGAGCGGGCCCAGTAACGTCTCCATGGTGAGACTTGTTGTATTACTGTGTTTGGCAGATAGAATACGTCAGGGGGAGCTTGCCAGGCTCTGCCGTGCGGGCGAGATCCTCTCGGTAGCTTGCCGGGCTCTCCAAGAGGGGCGGAGGAATCGAACTCGGGTTGGCCACGTTCAAGGCAAATGCCCTACCCACTGTGCTCTCGCTCCAGCTGTCAAAATAAGTAAGCTAGATAAAACTCTTCCCTCCGGGGGACCAGGACCACAGCGCTGCTGGGTGGGGCACACAGACGTGCACACGTGCACTCACATGCACACACCTTCCCTGGCGGTGTCTTCAGTGTTCTCTCCTGCTAGCCAGGATCATGACTGACTCATGCATCCTCAAAGGCAATTGGGTCATTCCGTTTACTTGGCCCAAGATGCCAAAAATCTCACTCTGTGTTTCATTTTTTAAAATTAAGTTTTATGAACAGGTCTGGAGCGATAGCACAGCGGGTAGGGCGTTTGCCTTGCACGCAGCCAACACGGCCGACCCGAGTTCGATTCCTCCACCCCTCTCAGAGAGCCCAGCAAGCTACCGAGAGTATTCGATATGCCAGACACAGTAACAACAAAGTCTCCAATGGAGACATTACTGGGCCCGCTCGAGCAAATCGATGATCAACGGGAGGGCCTTTAGAATTTAAAATTAAAAATTTAATGAACAGGTCTTATGTAGGCCCGAGATTTCCAATACAGCCTCTAGGAGTGTCTGGGCAGCCACGCTGCCCTGTGGCACCCACCACCCCTCCAGCAGCCTCCGCCCTCCCCCACTGCGGTGGTCCCTGGACCCCACACCCCGTCTGAGCTAACTGCAGTCCCACCGGCAGGCTCTGTCGTCACTGGCTGGTTCTATTCCCTCACGGTGTTTCTCTCCTCCACTTGGGAGAGACCCTTTGTCTTTCCCGGGGTTCACTTCACTCTGCAGCCCTTGTTCCCCACAGAGCAGCGGACGGCGGGGTTGCATCCTTGCTCTTGGCCGACTGGTATTCCATGTGCCTGCAGACCACTGGTTCCTTTGGAGGGTGGGGGCTCACCCAAAGGTGTTAGGGGTCACACCTGTTTCTGTGCTCAGGCCGCAGCTCCTAGCCACTGCCACAGGCGAGGCAGACCTCGCTCGTTCTTTGTCGAACTCTGGCCCACACCACATTTCTCTATGCACTGATCTGTTCTTGGCCCCTCGGGTTGTTTCCAGATCTGGGCGATTGTGAAGAGCGCTCTGGTCGCCCAGAATGCAAATCTATTTGCAGTGCTTGTCTTTTGGGTCTCTTGGGCGAGATACCCAGAAGTGAAATTGTGGGTCGCGCTGGAGGAGCAGAGAATGCAAATGTCTGTTCTCCGCTGTGATTGGGGCCCTCGAGGCAGGTGCCACGTCATCTACCCCAAGGAGTGGAATGACTTGCTCAGACGGAAGCTCGGGTTTTGAGGAATATCATTGTCTTTTGAAGAATGCCATGTTGTTTCCCAGAAAGGCCGAGCAAGTCGACGTTCCCTCCGGCCGTGAGTGAGGGTCCCTTCCCCAGCTCCCGCGTCCACACCTGCACCGCTCGCTCTTGATGGTGCTGCTCCCTGTGGCAAGAGGGATGCCTCATTGTGGTTTTGATTTGCGTTTTCCTGATGATTAGTGATGCAAAGAATTTTTATATGCCTTTTGGCTATTTATATGTCAGCTTTGAGGAAGTTTCTGTTCATCCCTTCTCCCTATTTGGGGCTGGGAGGTTGGGCCACTCCCAGCTGTGCTCAGGGCTTACTCCTGGCTTCGAACTCATGGATCAGTCATGGGGGACTTGGGAGGCATTTGGGGTGTCTGGGGTCAAACCTGGGTCAGCTGCATGCCAGGCAAGCTCCCTGTCTCCTATACTGTCATTCTTGCCATAAGAGTTGGTTTTGGGGTTCTTCTTCTTCTTCTTCTTCTTCTTCTTCTTCTTCTTCTTCTTCTTCTTCTTCTTCTTCTTTCTTCCTCCCATCTTCTCTCAGTACTTATATCTTAGGTAGTCACTATTTATTAGATGACTGATGGGCAACTAATTTCTCCCAGTCTGTGGGCGGTCTTTGAGTGTTTGGTCCTTGCCTCCTTCGAGCAGCAGAAGCTTCTTAGTTTAAGGTACTTCCATTTGTTTATCTTTGTTTCTGTTTCCTTGATCAATGTCGTTGATTATAGGTGCCTCTGCCTTCAGTCCTGTGGAGAGTTCTGCCTGTATTTTCTTCATTATCTCTTGTGGATTGAGGTCTGATAGGGAGGTCTTCAATCCCTTTTTATTTGGCATCTATGCCTGGTGTTAGAAAGAGGTCTGAGTCTTTTGGCATGGAGCCAACCAGTTTTTCCAACACCATTTGTTGAGGAGGCCACCCTCGCTTCACTAATTTTTGCTCCTTTATCAAACATTCGCTGTCTATAGACCTGAGGATATGTCTGTAGATTTTCAATTGTGTTCTACTGATCTGAGAGTCTGTCCAGTACCGCACTCTTTTAATTACTATAGCTTTGTAGTACACTTTGAAGTTGGGAATAGTGATGCCTCTCATCTTCTTTTTCCTAGGATTGTTTTTGCTATTCAGGGGAGTTTGTTATTCCATGTGAATTTTAGAAGTGTTTGATCCATCTCTTTAAAAAGTGTCACGGCTATTTTTGTAGGGGTTGCATTGAATGTGTATAATGCTTTGGGTAATGGTGACATTTTGATAATGTTAATCCTCCAGACCTATTAATAGGAAATGAGTTTCCGTTTCTTCCTGCCCTCTTTTATTTCTTGACATAGTGTTTTGTAGTTTTCTTTGTGTTGGTCTTTCACCTCATTTGTTAAGCGGACTTCTAAGTACTTGATTTTCTGAGGCACATTTGTGAAAGAGATTGCTTTTTAATTTCTCTCTCTTTCATTTCATTATTTGCAAAATGAAAAGCTATGGAGTTTTACATGTTGATTTTGTAGCCTGCCACTTTATTATGTGCGTCTCCTGCTTCTTCTAGGAAGTTTTTTGTGGAGTCAATAGGGCTTGCCAAGTATAATATCATGTCGTCACAAATAGTGAGAACTTGACTTTTTCTATCTGATGCCTCTAACTTTTTCTTACCTAATTGCTGTGGCAAGTACTTCCAATGCTGTACTGAATAGTAATGGTGAGATTGGGTCCCTTTGCCTTATGCTTGATCTTAGAGTTTCAGTTTTTCACCACCAAATACTGTTTGCTGTGGCCTTGTGGTAGATTACTTTGATTATGTTGAGGAAAATCTCTTCAACTGCCATTTTGTTGGGTTTTTTTTAAATTTTTTTTATCCCAAATGTGTGTTGCATCTTCTCAAGTGCTTTCTCTATGTCTACTGATCTAATATGATCTTTATTTTTCCTTGTATTAATATTTCATATTACATTGATTGACTTGCCTATGTCAGACCATCTTTCAGCAGGCTAACTTTTGATTCTACTCATCATTTCTTTGCTATGGACCCATTTGTTTCTATGCGCTTCTATTTTCTTGACCATTGGCAGTGAGTTATTGAAGACGCTTCCAGAGACTTATCCCTAAACTAGAGAGCTCTGCTATGTTTCTTCCATATATTTTATGGATTCTGATCTAATATCAATATTTTAATCTGTATTTTTGTTTTTAATCTATTTTAAATTAATTTTAGTGCTAAGTATGAAATAGGGGTCAAAATTAATATATCTATTTTTGCATATGACTACCC